TTACTGAAAGAGCAGAGTTACATATCCATATTGTTCTGTCAGGAGGAGCAGAGGGCGGATATGTATTTATGAAAAATGGGTGAAATATGTACGAAAAAAAGCACCAATATTTACCAAAGATGTATAAAAAAACATGAAAATACAAAATATATCCATATTTTTTAAACATGTAAAAGATGTAAATATTATTGAAAAATCATTGAAATGTGTTTAATTTTTATGAAAAAAACAACAAAATAATTACAAATTATGTACGGGAAAAAAATATAAAAATACAAAATATATCCATATTTTTAAATATGTAAAAGAAATATTTTTGAAAAATCATTGAAATGTGTTTAATTTTTACGAAAAGACGCCAAAGTATTTATAAATTATGAACAGTAAAATTATAAAAATATAAAATTTGTCGCAAAATTTGAACTTCTGAACATGTATTTTTTGCGGTCGAATTTCTTTGAGCAAATAAATTTTATCCGATACTTTTGAAATATTTACAAAATATATACTGATATATTTTTGAAAAAAATATGTAAAAGATTTTCATAATTTTGAAATAGATAATAGCGGAAATATTGATAGATATGTGTGAAATTTAGAAATATGAAAAATAAAATTTGAAATTTTTATGAAATAAACAAGTTACAGGAACACACCGACAACGTTTGAACGTCGGTCGGGATCAAATAAATACATATCCGCGCTCTGGTGAGAAGACGGGTAAGAGGAGGGGATCAATTTATGGGTAGTGACACATTATCATCGTGGGAAAGCAAGGGGCCAATTGAAGTCGCTTTATTGAAACTGAATTCATGCGAGAAAACTGTTCAAGAAAAGCTATCAAGCATAATTAATGACTTTCCATTCTCCGGAATTCTGATTGTGCAGGGAAAACCTAGGCCCAGGCCCGGATCGGGTGTTCTGCATGCACTTTTACTTTCACCACGTTTTCCACCTGCCAACATTACATAAGCACCTGCCCGAGCATGTAACGATCTGCCAGATTTGGAACAAACCACGGTTCAATAGTTCAAGGAAAGTTTGAGGTTTCAAAATTTTGTACTTTTTTGATACCAATCTGCGTGATTTTCGCCGGTTTTCTCATAATTTTGAAGAATTACTCGCCTTTTTCGGAAACCATAAGCATAAAAATTCGCCAGACTTTCGTTGAAACGAGGGTTTTTCCGGTTTTCATCCGCTAAACCATGGCCCCTCCAAATCCGGACGGGACAAAACCTCTCTTGCACCAAGTATTTAAGCCACACTTTCAGTGGCTGCGGAACTCGTGGGAACATCGGGGGACAGTAACATTGCAGGATAAGGGAGGGACGGGTTTATATAAATAAGATGGGCAGATGATGCCGACATCCAACAACCGTGGGGACATTGTCCCTCTGTCCCCTCAAGCTACATATGTTCCGCGGCCACTGTCACTTAAAATAACGACCCCCCTCACGAAACCAAAAAACCTTCATTTTTTCGGGTTATTCCGAGGTAAACGGTACGTATGTGTGAAGTGGGATTCAAATTGTGGCATTAAATCCAATCCAGATGGAATATTATCAAGCTAAAACCTTTCTCTCTCTCCTCTCGTCCTAAGAAAAAGGAGTACGTAGTGCAATAATATCCCATTCTTCTTGATGTGAAGCAAAATTTATCCTCGCAGTAAAAAGATAAGTGCTTATACATCGTTCCCGTTCTCTAATCTAATTGTGGATGCGTCCCAATAGTCACATGGTACGTATAAAAAATGTATCAAATTGTGAGATGGATGGACGTCTTTCTTTATTCCTAAGTGTCACATATATTTCGTGCAGCGGCCGCGGAAGGGTGGGGGGGGCAGAGGGGCAATGTCCCCACGGTTGTTCGATGTCGGGATCATCTCCCCATCTTTTATAAACCCCGGCCCTCCCCTATCCTGAAATGTTAATGTCCTCACGGCTTCTGCGGTGATACGACAAATATGTCACCGACATTTATGTAACGACATCTATGTAAACGACATTTATGCTACCCGGCAAATATATAACCCGACGAATATGTAAGAGACCAATATGCAACAAAGAGGATTTAGTATATATATTTATTTCGGATTAGTCAATCATATTTTCATTCGTCGGGTTACATATTTGTCGGGTAGCATAAATGTCGTTTACATATTTGTCTTTACATAAATGTCGGTTACATATTTGTCACCCCGTTGCTTCTGCGGCCACTGATTCCGTGGACAATCTTCTCTTGCCAGTCAATCATTATTTGTCGTAATGCGACTGCGACTTCCGTTTCATTTTTTAAAACGTGAACCCTTTCAAATTCATGACGGGAGAGGAGATTGATTTAATGATAGTAAAATTTTACCAAGCCTTTGACAAGATCATTGCGGATTAAATGGATATGTCAGACAAGCTCGGAGTTCGTTCGTGTGGTTGAATAAATCATGAAATGAGTGAGTTTACTAGGAAGGATGAGAATTGAATTTGTTTGTTTTTGCAAGGATTTCATTCCGGTTATGGGCAGAGGGCGGATATGTATTTAGTTTCGTTTTTTTTAATTTGATGCCAACCGAAGGTTAAACTTTGTGGGAAAGTATTCCGTAAGTCGCATGGGTCACAAAAATTTCAAAAATTTTACATATTTTACGTATTTTTAGGTTTTCAGACATACTGTATACACATATTTCCACTATTGTTTGAAAAATACGAGAATCTTTTAAAATTAAAAAAATATGTAGGTATATTTTGTAAATATAACAATGTGAGAAACGAATTTTTTTGCTTAAAGAAATTGGACCACAAAAAATCTGGAGTATTAAATTTGAAAATGTAAATTATTCGAAAATTTCTAATTTTATGATTTTTGTTGCACATACATACTTCGTAAATATTTTCCGTAATACATAACCGTTCTTTGGATTTAGCGCCGCTAAATGGGACGCTAAATTAACATTAACCTGTGGTATCAATGTATTTAGAAAACCGAGTTCTCCGAAAATCCGGCCCTTTTGCAAAGTAAATCCCCCTAATTTTTTGCATTTTGCACAAATCTCCCACTTTTTATGACGAAATACCGATTTTTTACATTATTTCTTTTCAAGTGGAATAAAACGATTTAGCCGGAATCTCATATTTTTTAGTGGGAACAAAATAATCCAGAAAATAAATAGAAACCAAAATCGAAATCCAGAACTTGGTCTAAAAACTTAGCCCACCCGATATATCACGCTAATCAAATCAGGAAGGAATATATCCGTCCGTCCGTAATGTTCTCTTCAATTTTCGTAAGAACAGAACAAGAATTGTCCCCTTGCCAAGGAACGCGACTGCACCACTCGCCTTATTGTTGTCTGTGTGACTGATTTTATCCGTATTTTGGTCCATTTCCAACTTGACACTAATTAATTTCTGCCCGCTGCTGTGATCCCCTCAAGTCTGGCCTCGTCTTTTTCCTCATTTTTTTCTAATCTCGCTGAATAAATCCGTCCCCCCATCAAGAAGAAGAACAAGGAGACCCTTGTTGTCCTAAAGAACAGAATCGTGAACGAACGACGACTATTATTTATGTATATTTTGGAATGATGTTGGTGACGCAAAACGGGGAATATTTATAAGAATGTGCATCTGTACCGGTCTGTATTTCGGAAATGATGTGGATCAAGTTCCCCGTCTTCTGAGGACATTTAACCTACCCAATAATTCATGAAATAATACTATTTTTACCATGCCATGTGTCAACTTATTTTGCATACAAAGTGCAGTAAAGCAATGCACATGTACTGGGTAAGTATTGTTGTCTCAAGTTGCCTCTCACTCATCAAGTCGAGCAGTCTCAAGTTGTGGAGTCGTGGAAGGTTCACACGGTTTAAGATTGAGACCAGCTTGAGACCAGATTCAGCCAAAAAATATGCGAATTTTCGTACGCGGACTAGACCCATTTTTTGACCAACTTTCATTTAAACATAGAAATCTCATGCAAAATGCAGTTTTGTCCTAATCGGATAGAAAAATTTCAAGTAGAGATACATATGTAATGTACGCATGCAAATAAATAGTGTATGGTCGATTTTGCCAATACTTAGATAATTGCAAAGTACTCTTCGCTATTTTTTGCACATTCATATACATACTTATTTTCTTGCTATTTATATGCTAAATATGTAGTGTTCTCGCAAAAGCAGGGGAACAAGCAAATCTCCAAGAATAATATGTAATCTCATGCATTTTGACCGTAAATACATACAAAAAAAATGTGGGCACATACTCATTTGAAATGGGCGATGACGATCTGTTTTGACGAAGTGACGCTAAGTGACGAATTTGTATACTACATCTCTGCCAAGTAAAAATATTGCGATTAAAAAATACTCAATTAAAAAATATTTATATGTAATCATACCGTCAGATTTCCAGATTTTTTTGCAATTCTAGTCCCAGGGGATGCATAAAACTGGACCAATTTCACTGAACGTGTAATAAATTTGATTTGCGACATGATGATTGTGACGAGTGGCGTGTGTTGACCAACACAAAAGTGTCACTCAAAACCAACCCGTCAGAAATTTTGTGTTATTTATTTATTTCTCATCCCAAAAATTATTACGACTACATATGTGTAAAAACTGCTTAAAAAATGGATCAGCAGGTGATGATGATGATGCATCCGCGCTACGTGTACAATTAATTACTTATTCTTTAGCAGGGCAATGGAAAACTTGACTCTAATGGAGACGAGCAATTACTACGTGGCGTGGCGTTGCGTGACCTCGATTCGATCTGTGGCATGAAAGGTAACATAACGCGGATCATGATTTTTTCCCAGTAAATGACAAAGTTACAATGTTACACGCGATTTTGTTTATTTACTTATCAACGTCTCACCGACATTTGAACAATAATATGAAAGAATTGGTGTCATAAAATTGACACTTGTTGACAACTCTGTTTATTAAAAAAACTATAAATATAACCCTATGAGAATTTTCGTTTTATTACTTGCCATGATTCCTAACAAACGAGTTTAAGGTTATCATCAAGATGGGGGCTTATCAAAGTTCATTTATGTAAGATACATAGTAAATAAATAATAATGGGGGTACTCACGACAATATTATTTGCGTAATCTCATAGCTTTCCTAATTTTTGACGACTAAGTTTCTTACAATTTTTTGTTGGAAAATTGTAGGATTTTTATTTACCTATAGATTTTCATATTTAATAAATAGATATTTTTCTAATTCGCAAATATTTTCGCGTGGGTCGCAAATCTCGTAATTTTATTATTTTTTTTGAAAAGCATTGTGCAAATATTTGCTGGAAAGTGTCGCATTTTTGTTCACAAATTTATTGTGTAAATGAGTATTTTTTATATAGAAAAATTGCGAAATGGTTAAATTTGCGAAATATATTTCGCAAAATATTTGCTATATGAGTTGCTTCGTGTTGTGAGTACGCCCAACACACGTATTTTGACTGACTTATTCTCTTCCTGAAATTCAGAGATGACGAATCCGTGAAACAGAACCGGGTCGATTTTTTCCTCAATGGAAAACCACACCATGGTTCGAAAAAAGTTCGAGATTTTTCCAGAATTATGAAATAATTTATTTATTTAAAATTTGATTATTATTTCAGTGAATTTGAACCATGATTCTAACATAACTGCGGAATCTCGACTGGTGGATTTTATCCGGGATCAGGCCGGACTTAAGGGGACCAAATTCATGTGTCGGGAAGGTACGAGGGTCAAATTTTATTTCACAACTCGAATTTCTAAATATTTTTCTATATTTTTCTATATTTTCTAAAATTTCAATATTCCTTAATTATAAAGTTAAAAACAAATATATAAATTTAGCCGATATTTCCACGATCTTTCTTTTCTTAACAAATTACGCTGTCAACTGTACAACGTTTTTTTAAAATTAAAAATTTAATTTTGGGAAAATTCATAATTTAAAACTGCTTTTCGGAAATATTTCCCCCAGATTTTTCATAAATATATACCCAAATGAATATAATCAATCATCATTTTTTCAAATTTTGCAGGAGGTTGTGGGGCTTGTGTTGTAACGGTGAAATCGAAGGATCCATTGACAGGGGCGGATTTCATTCGTGCCGTCAATTCGGTATTCAATTTCACTGACTTAAAGTCAACTATAATTTACATAATACGTATAATTTACATAATTTAATGTTAATATCACCATCTGAATTTAGTGTCTGGTCCCCGTATTTTGCGCGGATGGTTGGGACATCACGACAATTGAGGGGCTCGGTGATCGGGTCAAAGGTTATCACAAGATTCAGGACCAAGTCGTCAAATTCAATGCGTCGCAATGTGGTAATAATATACAGCATTTTCTTATTTATTACCTGCACAAATCACACGTTTGTAACCCTTTAAACGACAAAGTTTACGAAAATCAAGGAGGAAAATGTACTCCAAATTCACACCAATTTATTTTGTTAAACCGTTTTTAAAAAAAAAAACATGCACAACTTGCTGGGTTACAAAAGTCAGAGTGAATCTATCTAATTTATTTGTGACTACATATATACCTGTTTATCTATCACTTAAGGGTATTGTACTCCCGGAATGATTATGAACTTTCACAGGTAATTTTAAATGTCTTAATTAAAATCGAGTTAATAAATAAATAATAAAATGAGGCATTTCACGCGGTCATTGATAACTTTGTAAAATCGGTGGGTTGGGTTTTGTATCATAATTTTACAAATTTGTACATAATAAGAAGACTCACTTGATCTGAGCAAATTTACAAAAATTTTTAATCTATAATTTTCCTTCGAAACATTTCCAAAATTTTGTGAAAGTTTCTAAGTTTACGGATTTTACACAGTTACCAAGGCCTGCGTGAATTGCTTCAGTGATTAACTTTAACCTTTCTCCAGTTTAACGCAGAGCAACCCATCGTTTAAAATGGAGCAAGTGGAGGACGCGTTTGATGGGAATATTTGCCGGTGTACGGGATATCGCCCTATTTTGGATGCGTTTAAAGCCATGAGTGGAAATGCGTCGGAGGAATTGAAGAGAAAAATGGCACAGGTAAAAAAATCAGTCAATTTAAATATACTCGAGGATGTTTGTAACATCGTAAACCTCGTAAAATTCCCAAGTTTCAAATTTTGTACAAATTTTCTTTACAACTTTAATTTTGTAAAAATTTTGTAAAGCGAAAACCAAGTTAAGAAGATCGATCCGCAAAATTCCGTAGGAAATTGCATGCTAAAAAATCCTTCGACGTGTTCAAAAAGTTATTAAACACGTTGTGTAAAGTGATGTGCAGAATTTTGCATATCTCATTTTTCGCAAAAAAATGGCCCCCAATTTTTGGCAGGTCGATTTTCACCACGGGCGTTAAGTTACAAAACTTAGGAGCAGTTTACTGGGTTACAAACATTAGCGTGAATTGCAATATTTATGTAATTATGTCTCCTTTTTGCTACTATTTATCAGCCTGAATCCACAAAATGTCCGTGTTCAGGGATGACGTGCTGCCAACAAATTAATCCACCCGAAATTTCTGAATTGACTGAAAAATTTGAAAATTGTTCAATGGAAGAGACCAAATTATATCTAAATTTAAAATCTGGCGAAAAATGGATCCGTGCCACAAATTTGGTCACTCTTTTCGAAGTGGTACAACATTTCGTCACTTCCGGGACGAATTATCGGATCATTGCTGGAAATACGGGAACAGGTGAATATATATTAATGTTGATCTCATAATTTTAGTCCAAAAAACCCAATGTTTCAGGTAAAAGCAGGGTATTCCGACCTGGGTTTTAATGGGTTGGGTTTTATTGGGTTTTAATGGGTTTTAATGGGTTGTAAATGAATAAAACCCACTGGGTTTTACCATGTTAAGTGGGTTTTATTTGGGGTTTAATGGGTTTTATTGGGTCTTAATGGGTTTTATTGGGTTTTAATCGAGTTTTACCTTAAAACTATATTCTAAAAGTTAAATACATCTCCTATACGTTAGAAGACGTTATCTCAATTCATTCTAAAGCAGTTTATTTCATTACTATCATAATATATGAAAATTCGGAACAAAGCAACAATTGACTCCATTCTTTAGCATCACAGATTTCAAGTGTTGTAAAACAAAAATAATTTCCGAATAGATACAAATTCCGAATAATTGTTGTTAAATTATTACTTAAAACTATTAAAACCCAATAAAACCCACTTAAACCCAATAAAACCTAATAAAACCCATTAAAACCCAAATAAAACCCAATTAACATGGTAAAACCCATTAAAACCCATGGGTTTTATAATTTTTGATTAAAACCCTGGGTTTTTCCGAACCCTGGGTAAAAGTAAGTAACCACTTGCATGAAATGAGGGGAGAAAGTGGTTTCTGACAGGGAAATATTTTGACCTGGGAGAAATGCAAGGTGGGAGAAACTACGTCCCGCCGCGGTAAATACGGCGGGTGGCTATAGATGGCGCTTATTTCTTGCACTTTCTCCCACTTTCTTGCACCTTGGATTTCTTGCGTGGCTTGTTTTACAGTACAAGAAATGTAGCAAACCCGCAAGAAACACGGGTAAAACCCCGAATTCGGATTTACAAATATTTTCATCTCATTATTTCAGGCGTTTACAAGAACGACGGCCCTTACCAAGCTTATCTGGACATAAGTTCGGTCCCAGAATTGAAAAATGCCGTCCTCAGCGCCACCACGGGGGTGCAAATTGGCGCCGGAGTGACGCTCTTCCACGCAATCGATCACTTCCAAAAGGCCTCCGAACTGCCCGGATATTTCTACATGGCTCAAATATCCAAACATTTAAAAAGAGTGGCAAACACGCCGATTCGAAATGTTGGAATTCTGAAATAAAAATATTAATATTTCTGAAGTTATATTTCCATAAAAGTGTGTAACGCTGTAATTAATAGGCCGCCACACTGGGAGGAAATCTGATGTTGAAACATTTCCATGCCGATTTTCCATCCGACGTTTTCGTCCTCTTGGACTGCGTGGGGGCCAAGGTGCTAATTGGTAAGGGAAAGCAGGCCTACTTAGCAGACAGACGAGGACATTCTTGTTCTTCTTATTGTTCATTATTGTTCTGGATTGTCAGCCTCCTCGCCCACCGTGTCGCGAGAATATTCCATCACGGAGTTTAAAGCGATGGGGATGAACGGGAAGATTATCCTTTCCATCAATTTCCCACCTTATCGGGGCGGCAACTACTACTTTAAGAGCTTCAAGGTAACATCATCAGACTGGCACAACATTCAGTTTTTTTTGGAAATTTTGCAACGTACAAAAATTACGTGAAAATGATAAGTTACAAAGTCAAAAGTGTATCAAGGACTGAGATATTTTCAACCTTCTTGATTTGATAAGACACAAATTATCGTTCCGTCCGTTTGTGGATGTGTTCGTATAAAAAACACAAAAATTTCATGCATTTTTCTATATTTTTCAAAGTTTCAGTTATTATTTGAAAAATGGATAAACATCGTTTATCAAAATACGTGAATTTTGTCAATATTTTGACTAATTTAGAAGAAATTTAAAGAAAGTTGTGCAAAAAATTTGGCACATTTAAAAGCCGGATAACTGTACAAAAAGAAAATTCAGAAGATTTATTTTCGTGAATATTTTTTACATACATATTTCTGCAATCTGCACTATGCTTATCATTGTTTTTAACCATTCACCGCTTATCTGCCTCCAGATAGGCCGACGTCTCCAAAATGCGCATGCCTACGTGAACTGCGCCATCCTCATGAAAGTGGATACCAACAGGAATTTCAGCGTTCGGGACAAGCCTTCGATCGTTTTTGGGGGAATTTCTCCAGATTTTGTGGGTTCTAAAATTTCACTATTTAAAAAAAGTAAATAATACTTATTTAAATTATTAATTAAATTTAAGAGCCACGCGGTCAACACGGAAATTTACTTTGTTGGTAAATTCCTGAACCAAAAAACCATTTCGGGAGCGATAGAATCTTTGCAGAGGGAGGTCCAGCCGACCTCTGGGGGGGTCGAGGCAGACCCAAAATATAGAAAAATCCTGACACAAGCGCTGCTCTACAAGGTACAGTCAAATGCAGTGGGGTGGAAGCAGAGCTCGGCGGATATCGGGTGAAAACCTCCAAATATCCGGATATATATCCATACCCGGGCTAAAATCTCGCCCTCCAACCTCCACCCTCCAATATCCATGAAAAACTCTCGCCCTCCTACCTCCAATATCCACGATATCCGCCGAGCTCTGGTGGAAGTGACCACTTGCAAGAAATAAACCGTATATATGTACCAAACGAAATGTAACAATAGGGTGAAACAAGCAAAGAAATATGTAATCCCACCCCTTATGACCTGACCTTTAGGGTAGGTGGTCCGATCGACCCCTAAAGTTGAGATGGGATCCTCCCCCTGGGGTCATATGTGGGATGTCGTAAACCGATTTCGATTATCTCGATCCGTTATCCTGCTGACGGACAGACGGACAAAGTCTTTACTTAATAGGGTCGTCAAATTTTATTATTTTTCATCTAATTATTCCAGTTTATCCTGGGGATACTGGGGGATTCCGTGTCCCCCCGGGTTCAGAGTGGGGCACGTGACATTGATCGCTACTTGATGCAAGGGAAACAAGATTTCGATACGAGTGACACCTCCGAGTGGCCCTTGTATCAACCAATTTCTAAAATTGAGGGGAAAGTGCAAGCCTCAGGTGATAAGAAACTAAGGAATAAAATGGTTCCTAATTTCTAAAAAAAAATTCTAAAATTTCTGAATTTTCTAAAACTTCTCCAAAATTTAGGTGAAGCGGAATACGTGAACGATATGGAGTCCCGTTTCGGCGAATTATTCGGAGCTTTTGTCGTAACAAGTGTGGCGAATGCTAAAATTCAGCGGGTCGATGCGTCCGAAGCTCTCGTAATTAATTAAAAATTAGTTAAAAATGCAACCCTTTTCATCAAAATTCTTCCAAATTTCAACTTCTTTCAAATTTTCAAATTTTCAAAATTTCAGTTAATCCCCGGCGTGGAAAGATTCATTCAAGCCAAAGATGTCCCGGGAATCAATAATGCCGCAATTTTCTACCCGGAAGCCGAAGAGGTTTTAGTTTTTTCAGAAAACTTAAAAGTCATACATACATTTTTTTCAAAATTCTCTCCTTTTCCAGATTTTCATTTCCGAACGAGTAACCCACGCGGGACAAGCGGTCGGACTAATTCTTGCGGAAAGTCGCGAAATTGCGGTCTTAGCGGCGAAAAAGGTGTCCGTTTTGTACACGGACGTGAAAAAGCCGATTCTCACGGTGAAGGAGTCCCTCCGCCTGGCGAGGGATGAGGGTCGCATGGAGGACTGGATTCTGAACAGGACAATGTCCTCAGGAGGACAAGAAGAACATGTCGCTGTGGGGGGGACGATGATCCGGGGGGAATTTCAGATCGGGAGTCAGTACCACTTCCACATGGAGACGCAGACTTGTCTCTGTATTCCGAAGGAGGACGGGATGGATGTCTTTTCAGCGTCCCAATTTCCCCACGGGGTTCAGGCCATTGTTGCAATCGCGTTGGGCGTGCCGATTCATAGGTGGGTGAGACCAGAGTTTGGTTCTGCATATTCAAAACTGTCCAAAATGTCCAAAATGCCCAATAGCCTCCAAAACGATTTTGGACGTCCAAATGCCTAAAACTGTCCAAAATAATAATAGACACTTTGGCCATTTTGGAAGCTTTTGGACATTTTGGACGTCCAAAATTTGGTATCCAATACTGGCTAAAACCAGTTTTGGACGTCTATTTTGGACTAAAATGGTTAAAACCAGGCATGTATTTTTGGTCGGGCAGAGCCTTAAGCTTGCATGTGCTCAGCATGGCTCTGCCCGACCAAGAATACATGCCTGGTTAAAACCAGTCATTGTTACATGACAGCATTTCCGTCTCGATCCGGCGTCTTGGGGGTGCGTACGGGGCAAAAATTTCCAAAGCTACAAATGTCGCGACGGCATGCGCGGTAGCGGCGAAAGTGACGAATCGACCGGTCCGCGTCGTCCTGGATTTGGAAACCAATATGAAAATGATCGGGAAGAGGTTACCCTACCTGGCGAAATATGAGGTAAATAACATGCTAACGCCATGAGTAACTTGCGCCATAGTTAAAACCTATAACATTGGCGTAAGTGGAAATACTTATCTTAATCTAGCTCTCGTTTAGGTTGGAGTGGACAAAGACGGCAAAATCATGAGCTTAAAATGCGACATTTTCTGTGACCCTGGATCCGTTGGGAATGAAGCGACATCGTTTCTGGCAGTTTTCAACTTACAAAAGTAACCCAAATTTAACCAAAATTTCGAAAATATTTTAATTTTTCATACATTCTGAAAAATGAGGGCATGCAGAATAGCACTTGAAAATTATGTCAACATTTTTTCTTTGAATTTCAACTAAATTCTCGGCGTACGCATATTATTCAAACGTAATGTTCCCAAAATTTTGGAAAATTAACTTTCGTCATAAAAATTAACCAACCTTTTTTCGATAATGCTCAGCTGTTATCGGGCCACCGGATGGGATGCAACTTCCGGAAAAGCGATTACAAACACGCATCCAAACACGTATTGCAGAGCACCAGGTATTTATAAAAATTATTAACCAATTTAGTATAAATTTTGCATCATGCTAATACTAAAAGTATGTGCTTATCAGTTGATATCCCTTCACTAATTAAGTACTTATCTTACGGCAGGGTCCACGCAAGGAATCGCGATAATCGAGAATATCATGGAGCACATCGCTTCCGCCGTGAATCTCGACCCTTTGCAGGTCCGCATGAATAACTTGATTTCCAATGGCGACGCTATATTTGGGATTCCAGGGTTAAAATTTAAGGGAGAAAATCCCGTCCAGAAAATGATTCAAGATTTAAAAACGTCTTCCGCCTTCGATGAGAGGAAACCTTTCGTGGACAATTTTAACAAGGTCGGTGTCAAATTTGCAAGGGAGGTCGCCCAGCGGATGCGATCCGATTTTGAGCGAATTAGTGTGAATCGATGAAGAATTGATTAGTATGAAATTTGCGAAAGACACGATCTCCCAATGGGCACGTTTGGCCGAGATATTTGCATCCGAAGAGGAGAAAACATACAGTAAATTTGGAAAGTGTACAATTTGTCGACTTTAAAGCACGCTTTCTCCTCTTCGGATGCAGCTATCTCGGCCAAACGTGCCCATTAGGAGATCGCGTCTTTCGCAAATTTCATACTCATTAAATTTGCAACCGATTTAGACTAGCTTGCCAAAAATCAGATCACATTCGCTGGGAGACCTCCATTCTTTCAATTAGTGCAAAAATTTGTAATAAAAAGTTTCTAAATAATTTATTTGTTTAGAACAATCGTTGGAAAAAGCGAGGACTTTCCATCGTTCCGATGCGATATCCGAACGTGTATCCTGATATCGTTTTACGATTTCCGGTCTACATTGCGGGTGGGTCATAATTTAAAAATGTGGAATTTTTCGTGCTAAATAATTGAAATCTGTCCAGTTTATGCGGCCGATGGAACGGTGAATGTGTCGCATGCAGGTAAAAAGCTATCTTTCTTGACCCATCTTGACCAGAGAGAGGTTAACGACGCCCCCCAAAAAATCACCAAAATTGGCACTGACGCCCCCAAAAAAATTACCGCAATTAGAAAAATAGATCGGCGTTGACCTCAGAGTTTGACCACTTAATTCTAAATGTAATATTTGCTTACAGGGATCGAAATGGGACAAGGTGCATGTTTTTTTCATTATATAAAAACGTACACAATTTACAAATATTTGGTAATATGAAATTGTTATATTTTCCATAAAAAATGGACAGGAATTAACACCAAGGTAAAATTTCTTTGGGGTAAAATTGCTACAGTTTCTTAAACAATTTTCATACGCATAATTTTTAGTGTGCACAAGTTGTCGCTCACGAGTTGAACATTCCCATCGAAAAGGTCAAGATTGAACCAACGTCAACCCTCATTTCACCAAATGGAGGTAACTATTTTTCGTAATTTGACACTTTTCAAAATTTGATTTTAAAATTTGACGTGAATCTGCATATTTAGTATCTAAATATGTAAATATGTGGTTATTCTACATGCACATGCACATTCATTTATTTGTATTTAACCACTACATAATTTAAATTAAAAATACTACGTTTTTCAGTTTTATATAACAGAGAAATATGTAAATTTCATCTTACAAAGGATAGAACATGAATCTGTATAATAATTAAATATATATAAACACACAATTTTTTTACAAATGGAGTACAAATCATGCATAAAGTGTATTTTACGCTTCACTAAATTTCAGAATGTCACGAATCGCTTAGGTTCGGTTTAAAACTCAAATTGTATAATTGTGGGTGTGGTCCGAACTTAAAACTAACGTAAAACACGAATTTTTCCCCCAAAAATTGCAATAAATCGAGAACATACAAAAGCTTTTCGTGTTATTTTAGATTTTAATTGTCAATTTTAAGTTCCCATCATCACAAAATTTTAGTTTAAAACCAAACAAGGCGAAATTTTGATATACATGAATCTGTCCTTACATTTAAATGCACATGTAAATTTTAACAAATGGCCATTAAAAAAAGGAATTTAACCATTCAAAAACCTTCACAGTGAAGCGAATCACTTCATTTTTTCAGGTGCATGGTTTACACTCAAACATTGTAATTCGAAGTTGAAAACTTGACTCAGAATTTTAACCGTGTTTCCAATTAGACGTTTAATTAAAGTTTCAAAATAAATAGTTTAATGCAAAACAAGATGCATGCCTTTTTTGATGAATGGACCACAATTACTAATTAATTAAATTAACTTGAAGGACATGGACTAATTAAACATTAATTTTTCTTCTGCAGGCATTACCGGTGGTGCAATTACGAGCGAGCTTGTTTGTCATGTATGTAACGAGATATCATGGCATGAATGAATGTCTAAAATTTTGCATATTTCCTGAAATTTTGAATGAATTTTATTTTTCGCCATAATTATTTCAGGCTGCGGTACAATGCTGTAAACAACTCTTGGCGAAAATGGCCCCTGTTAAGGCCACCTTGGACAACCCGACTTGGGAGGAGACGGCGATGGCGTGTTATAAAGCGCACGTGCTCCTAACAGCACATCATCAGTGAGTCCCCAAAATCTAAAAATAGATAGAATTGTATCCATAATTTGGACTTATCACCAAAATCGTCACACATTTTTAATGATTTCTCCCCTCTGGGAACTTATTTTAAAATTCTGGACGATAAATTTGTCCTCAGTGAGTTGATTGATGGATTGGCGTCGAGTTTTTTAAGCGAGTTTCAATGAGTTCCAATTTTTCTGAAGGCTTCTTAAACTTGAGATCTCCTCCGGCAAAAAGTGTCAAAATCTGGAGTGTATATTTCTAAAAAAAATTGGGAACGACCTGCTCTACAAATTTTTCGGTCAGAATTTTAAAATAAATTCCCAGAGGAGGGAAGAAATGATTAAAGATGTGGTGATTTTGGCGATAAGTTCAGAATTTTTGTTATTTTTCAGAGATAAGCTTGACGACGTCCAACCCTACGATATCTGGGGGGTGACATTGACCGAAGTGGAGCTTGACGTGTTGACAGGGGAATTTAAAGTGATTTCAAAAATCACACGAATAAATTTCCTGGAAATATTTCATGATATTTTTTTTATAGATCGTACGAGTCGATTTGATCGAGGATGCGGGTAAAAGTATAAGTCCGAACGTGGACATTGGTCAGATTGAGGGTGCCTTCGTGATGGGGTTGGGGCTATGGACGACGGAAAAATTGACGTATGACGAGACAACGGGGGAGTTGATGACGCACAATACTTGGGTAAGCAAATAGTTGATAAGGCAATAAATAAATACGCAGGTTTCGCTTCTTCTGATTTAATAGAATTACAAACCACCGCTCCCACGCGACATTCCGGAAGACTTCAGGATCACGATGGTGCGAAATAGAGCAAATCCGTATGGCGTTTTAGGATCGAAAGGTTAATTTTTCCGTAAAAAAGATTACTTAATATTTGCATACCTGTTCAAAAAAACTTTTTTCATTCAAAGTTCAGTCATCCGGATTTCTGATTGACGGTTTCCATTCACACTTTCAGTTATTTTCGTTTAAATTCATTTCATTTCATTTCACTTCATCGGACTTCATTGCATACTTCGCCCCTAGCATAGGGTGAAAATTGAAATGAGTGAGAAATCCATTCATTCACAGTCCTTCATTCTGAAATGATGAAATCTTTCAGTCATTTTCATTAAAATCACAGTAAATTCATTTTCATTCATAATCACTCAAATGAATGAAAGTGAACAGGTATGAACATTTGTATAACTTTTATCACATTTTTTTCATATAATGAAATGCAGCAACTGGAGAAGCACCACTCACGATGAGCGTCAGCGTGCTTTTTGCCCTACGATATGCCTTAAACTCGGCGAGGATGGATGCCGGAAGTACGGAATGGTATCAAATGGGTGGGTTTATTACCATATTTTTATGCTACATACGTTAATTAATTACGATGATAATTAGTGGGTGGTAATAAATATTATTATTAAATTCGTTGCGCAGATGCTCCCGTCACTCCAGAAGAGCTTCAAGCATTCGCATTGACGTCAAAAGATAACTTCATCATTTAAATGGAGATACGTTAATTAGTCATTAGTAGTGATGTTAAACATATATTAACGGGGTATTTTAAATAAATTCGTAATTGGTAATCGTTAATTGTTTGCGGGATGATTAAAACACTTTATTACGTACGTATCTACAGGCAGCATTTCATAAAATAAAAAGTAATACATTTCGCCTAAATGGTTCCCAACAAGATTAAAACTTCTGTTACCGCAAGTATACTTAAAAATTGTGAGGACGAAACGAAAGTAAAATTGAAATTTCGTAATAAACACGATTAAAATAATGTCCTAAAATTCGGTACATAAATTTATATGCTTAATCGAAGCCTTTATTGGCCATAAATAAACTAGGGAACCAGTACATTCGTCCTCTCGAGGTATCATCAACCCACACAATTCCTTCGCAAATTAACATTTTTATAACACTGTCGGCGTCGGCCCGTTGAAAAAAAAACAATCAATATTCGCCATAGTATGCATATAGATAATCAGTACACATGAACAAATCCTCAAACCAAGTCCATAATTCCTATATTTATATGTACTCATACTTAAATATGTACATATTTGCTAAATAGTGTAATCCCAGAGGCAAATTGTCCTATCCGTTTTACAGGAATTACGAGCATTTCGGTTTAGTAATGAAAAATTTACCAATTAGAAAAAAAACTATTACCAATAGTCGGATAGAAAGTTATTGCCAAATCATGACCCCATCTCATGCGTCAAATTTCGTAATAAGGTGTCAAGTATATACGGGGAATTGATATCATAAGGCATGAATATAAATAATTTTAAAATTCAATCCAATGGCAGGTACAGTATTCTTGAAAACCTATCTGTAAACATTTAGGACTGAGGTTTAAACTATTTCCCTAGGTCTTCGACATAGTTCTGGGCTGGTCGCCCCGACAAATCAAGCAGGGCTGTGTTAAAAACGAAAGTCTGATAATTATATAAAATAAAGGCTGCCTTTTATAAAACAATTTACAAGTTGTTTATGGATTTCAATGGGACGTTAAAAATAATATTAGGAAACGTTTTCCATGTAGGTTACTTGTATATTACTTAGGAGACATTTCACTATTATTTAGGAGACGCGTTAATTGCATACCTTAAAAAAATATGTGTACATACAGATTTAAAATTGACGATGATGAGAATGACGACAATCTTTCCCTGAGCTTGTCACATAGTATGTGCACATCGCTGATACTACAATTAATGTAAAGCATTTTTAAAAATAAAATCCATGCGATCACAATCTTTGGAGTTTTTGAAGATCAAGAAAAAGTAGAAATTTTCTACTTTAAGGATCGCTATGGGGCTAGAAGTTTTTATGTCTATGTGTTTTATTTTTATGTCCACTGTTTCCTCGCTGTTGTCAAGAATATCTTGATACTCTACCCCGTCGTTGGGAAGATAGGACGCTACGCGTATTTTTGTCTTGGTCTTCTCAATCTCCAGGAATAAGTCATTTCCACGAAAATAACAGATTGGGAGGGGATTATCAATTGCTGTTTTATAAGCCATTTGAATTCTATGGAATGACCAGTTAGTCCCAACTTCATTTATGAGGAGGGCTTGTTGACTTTTCAATTTTTCGACGGATTTTCCTCCTCTACGGGCACGCTTCTTGGGGGGCACGACGACTTGGTTGCCGGAATCCACTGCTTCTCCGTCTACCTAGAAGCATAAAAATTAACTATATTCATATATGTATAATTGATTAGGAAAGTTAAATTTTAAATAATTTCATGGGAATTTATAATAGTGGACAAATGTGTGTCATTGGTTGGCAAAGTAATATTTCGAAAAAGTCAATTGTGTAATTTGATAGCCCAGAGGTTAATGTGAAATTATATGAATTATTAAATTAACTAGAGTAAAAAAAAAACTGCGACAAAAATACCACTTGTTCCAACTTCGGGATAAGATCAATTTCCGTGCTTATCATCTCTTCAAAAAATTAGTTTTATGTTTGCTCTTGCTTTAAGAATTTTGCAAATTGGGTAAAGTTTAGAGATTAATGTTAAATATTTTAATGAAATGCTGACATCCAAGGGAGTAAAGTTGGTTTTGTTGTAAGTTGGAGTGAAAAATGGGAGGAAAAAGATCAAATTTTTCCTCGGCCTAATAAAACTGGTTGACTCAACCCTTTCCTATTTTAAGAATAAATTTTAACCCTTTGTCCGACACCATACTCTTAAAAATAATGCTACCCTTTTGAAGAGTAGTAGTCTCAATTCTACATTTAATAAAATATACTAAATCTAGAGTAAACTTTACTCTTTTTCAAGTAACCGTTACTCGGGATTTAGTATTTCTTCTTCATATATCCTGAGTCAAGAGTGTTCTTAGTTTTAAAAAAAAAGTAAAATTATTTTTAAGAGTGTGCAACAAGTGTCGCATTTTAATACAAAGCATTTGAGTGCCACATGAAATCAAGTTATCAGTATGGCATGCAGGTTAAATACAAAGAAAATTTCAAGATTTGACCCATGATAGGCCCCCGGACTTGATTGTCCACTCATTTCTACGAATTAGACGGATGAAAAGTTAATTCCTTTAAAAACGGTGTATTTTCGTACGATTTGTGCCTTCTCGATGTAGATTTTCGTGAGGCAATTCACGCAGGCCTTGGTAACATTGTAAAATCCGTAAATTCCGAAACCTTTTACAAAATTTTGCTCATATTTCGAAGGAAAATTAGGCTACAAATTTGTGTAACCTTGCTCCGATCAAGGGTGGCGTCCCTTTATTTTGTAAAAATTTTTAAAATTATGATACGAAAGGTACCGATTTTACAAAGTTACCAAGCCCTTCGTGAATTGCCTCGAAACACTGTATTTTTTAAATCGTAACTTAACTATTGTTAATGTGCTATCGTACACGGGAAAAAATGCCGGCATGGATGCCGGCGACGAAAAGTAAAAGTTTATAGGATGATTATCTTTAATAAAGGTTAATTAACACACGAACCTTGATTTAAATGACTGGGGTGAAGAGGATCCCGAATATCAAGGCTCCCACTGGGATGAAAAATAATGGTATGAGAACAATTGCGAGAACGATTGGGAAATATTTGGTAACTTTAAATCGAACGGGAGGGTTTTTATGAATCTGGATTTGTAAAGGATCTGGTGCAAAGTTGAGGTCGGAATCGTCTTCTCCGAAATCAAAAGAAGATTCTGATTTTACGTGGGAAGCGATGATAAAACGACGACGGCGGAGGTCACATTCGTACAATTTTTGATAATTAATATAACGGAGAGCAGATACTTGACATTTTCTGCTTAAATTTAGTCCATGCAGTGAAAGGAAATAAAGAAAATAGTGTAAGTTTGGGTGCATTTCATGCAGTCATTATCATTGATACATAGTATGATGATGATGTTTTTCATGGTACAATGAAATCTCAACTTTTCACATAATTACACGTAGAGCTGACTACAAAGAAGTCGAACATTCCTATTTTAACCTTAAAGAACAAATTCGTAAAATAATCTAAAAACCGAAGAAAATGTGAAAAAGTCAAAATAAATTAGGCGGATATCATGGATTTTGCATATGGCGAGAATTTTGCATGAATAATATGCATGCATAGTATGTACAAGGAGATATTTTTGGAGAATTATTATGAAAGTAGGTAAATACGAAGGATCGAGTCGTGTATGAAAATGTTCAGAATTTTATGCTCAATGATCGTATGCATATATGTATTAACGGGTTACTTTATTTAAATAATTTGGCCATCGTTCGCAGGGACGATGATTAATATAATTTATTACGTATGTATCTACAGGCAGCATTTCATAAAATAAAAAAGTAATACATTTCGTAAAAATGGTTCCAAACAAGATTAAAATTTAAGTATATTTAAAAATTGTGAGGACGAAACGAAAGTAAAATTTAAATTTGATAATAAACACGATTAAAACAATTTCCAAAAATTCGGTACATAAATTTATATGCTTAATCGAAGCCTTTATTGGCCATAAATAAACTAGGGAACCAGTACATTCGTCCTCTCGAGGTGTCATCAACCCACACAATTCCTTCGCATATTAACGTTTTTATAACACTGTCGGCCCGTTGCGTTGTCCAACCTAAAATAAAAGTAAAAATTGTGTGGATTACGGTTCAGTTCAATTATCTGTTTAAAAAAATATTGAGGGATTTTTTTCACGCCAAGTTTTGTAACTATGTAACTCCGTTAGGTTTGCATACTTATGACGTGAGTGAGTTGAGTTTGTAAACAATTTCGTAAATATTTTTTGCAAAAATCAATCCGATTTCGACTGATAATGGAAATATCAAACGTTTGAATTATTTACAAACTTTTGTATATGAACCAAAACCATGTTTTCGAAGTTTCGTCAAAATCAAATTTCCTTAGAAATGTGTGTAAAAGTTTGTAAGCTTACAAAACCTTACGCAGTTACAAACATTGAGACAATTCAGCAGTCATTTGTCGCTTTGTAAAATGTGCAAATTTCGTAAAATAATTTTACAAACTTTTACAAACTAAAGAGACGCCCTGGATCTGAGTAACTTTACAGAAATTTGTTGGCTAATTTTCCTTAATATTTGTATACATAATTTGGTTAAAGCTTGTAAGCTTACAGAATTTACGAATTTTACAAGGTTACAAAGGACTGTGTGAATTGCCTCATTGACATGAATATGAAAAATGAGTATGTCGGACATATTATGTCCTCTTCATACCAAGATTGGAACAAATACTGTCCACCGTGACGAAAGGGGAGCCTGATTGTGCCGCATACTGGACGACGGTCGTATTGTCCAGACTTAGCTCTTCAGGCACACAAAATATCAGGTACTCCGACTTCGACTTGCCCGACGCGATAACGCCACAACTCTTTCCCAAGACGTTGAGTGACTTTATGGCTCGTAGAATATCCTCGCTGTATATTTTGAATCATATTTTAATCATTTATGCATAAATTAAATCAGGGACGGTCAAATGTGTGTCCCCCTTGACCGGTGTAATAATAAGCATAATGCTTATCCACTCACCATGAAACTTCCGTCTGTTTAAGTGACTTTGACCTGGATTTATTCAGCCTATTTTGAAGTTCTCCCAACGACATGACTCCCCCGTTGAGGTGGGACGTCGATAAGACGACTTCCACGGCCTGGACCGCAATTTCATAATAGAACGACCCCATACCCAACATTTCTGACCAGAATCCTTTCGACGAGGCTAAAGGGTCCACCCCAATTGTGGCGCACATGTCCTGAAAGTGTTCTCGGAACTTGGCATCCTTCTTTATCGCGGATCGGTGTTTCGCAGCGAAGGCTTCCAATTTGGTTTTAAATTGGTCAAGATTCCTGGATAGCTGGAAATATTATAAATATGTAAAAATCAGTGAAGGAACCACGTCAACGTTTGTAACCTTCCTATTTGCGAAATGTTTGTAAGAATTTATGAACTTTTACACACATTTTTAAGGAAATTTGATTTACGAACTTTTACGAAACTCACGAACTGCAGTTTTTTGTTCGAAAACAAAGTTCGTAAATAATTTGAGTGTTCGGTATTTGAATTTTTAGTTGAAATTAATTTTCGTAAACTTTTTTTTACTAAAAAAATGTTTACAAAGTCAATTAACGTCAAAAGTGTGTAAACTTACAAACATAATGTGGTTACGTATGTTAGAAACTTTGACGTTAAATCTCTCATTTTAAATGTGCAATAAAAACTAGATAAAATTAATTATTGTAAATAAAAATACCTCGTCAATTAAATTTTCCTGAAGCAGATTTCCCTTTTCTTTATACTTTTCCTGGCCAGCCTTCAAGTCCTTCACGGCACCCACACCCACTCCTCTTCGTCGCATTTTCAATAAATTTGGTACTTTTGTAGCAAAAATAATTAAAATTGGAAATTAAGTTTGTGGTACAAATTTTGTACAAAAAATCGTTCCTTCTTCTCTGGCTAAATATGAGTTCAAAGTGAGAAACCCGCTGGAGATGAGAGGAGCCAGTTAGCCGGTAGCCGGCTCAAAAGTTAGCCGTCTGCCGTTAGCCGTCATCCGTTAGCCGAATCAAGGATGTGAATAAAGCTATCCCGCACCCCGCATTACCGCACTACCGCGCAACTCTACCGCACCACCCCCCCAAATTACTCCCAAGAGGGTGTGGTCAGGGGAAAGTGGAACTTTTGGGGAAAATGAGATTATCGCTTCTCTAAAGTGCTGTCATGCTCAAATTGTTCAGGTACAACAAACGGGAGTGGGCTGGGGGAAAATGAGATTTTCTAGGAAAATAAGATTTTTGGTTAAACATGTAGTGCTGTGAATCTCAAATTTTTCAAAAACATCAAAGGTGTAGGGACAAGAAGATGGGGAAGGTTAGATTTTGGGAAATATGAGATTTTCGCTTATATGTAGTGACACTTAAATTTAAGAAAATCTACTATTGAATTTTTTGGTCAACTGTTCGGAAAAACGAATTTTATAGTCGGAAACGACTCCCCCGGAAATGATTAGTGGTCGAAGTATCTGAAATTTTAGAAATTATGTGTATGAATTTGAAGTATGTACAATAAGGTTTCAGTTTTTACGCACTCTAAACAAAGCCGGCAACTTGTCGCTGGGCGGCAATTTTATACATATGCACGTGTACGCTTATTTATCAACTCCCCCTATTTAATTCATCACTATTTTTACAACTATTTTTGCAATGGGGTCTTCCACCTTATCGCATGGGGTCATTCCTGCCGCAGACAAGTTGAAGCCTTGGACCGTCTATCGCAAGGTGGGCCAGGAAGGAGAGGAGATTTGGAAGACAGCTAAATTGGTGCACGTCCACGACAAGGAGGGATTCATTGTCACAAACACGGACGAAACGTATCACTTCATTCTAGAAGAGCTTGGCGATATTAAAATTACCCGAATTCCTGAATTGTGCGACGTTCGGTTGAAAGGTAGTACGAATTTTTAGGAAAATACTGATAAAAAATAGTTGTCTAATTTTTATGTCTGTTATAGAATTGGTCATTGGATCAATTAACCTCGCAATTACGGAGGACGGAAGCCTCTACTCGTGGTGCAGTGAATTCCGCTCAGCCGATACACCAATTGATAAGCAAATGAAGCAATTAGGACGGTTCTCTTATTTCAAGAACGATGGGTGCACGCCAAAAGAAGTCCTGAGGAAGAGAATACAACAGGTGGCGTTGCAAGGGGTGGGAAAGGGGCGCGTCGTGGCGTTAACGTTGGGGGGAGCTATCTATCACTGGGGTACAATTGGTGGCATTACCATCCTGGCGCCTTAGTTGATGGAAAAGGCAGAATGGAATTTTGAAATGGGCAAGGATTTTTGGCAGGTAATCTCAGTGGATAGTAGTTTTGGGGCAAATTTCGTTCTCACAGATCGAGGAAAAGTATGTATACACAGTAGTAGTTACGTATAAATATACTATCGAAAACTTGAATGCGATTTACCGGTTTTTTATTGCTGCAAATGGAATATTATTATTATTTTAATACATAAAACGTCCTCAATTGTTTGAGTAGTTGGGGTGCTTTTTATTGGAATCCGGATTTGCTAACAGTTCTGCATTTAACTCGTTTGTTTAAATTTTGTAACAGATATTTCGATTTGGATTGTGTGCAAATGACCCACAAAACTTGCTGATAGGTGCAGGCTTATCAATTAAAAAGGTACTTAATTTTGGGGTGCAGTGTTTGTCAAATTTCGTGAGTATGTTTAACCAAATTTTCGCCTATTTACGAACAGATTGCTACCACACAAACAACTATTTGCGCTTTGACTGCTGGAGGTAAAGTGTACTCATGGAGGATTAAAAAATCTGAAGGAAATCCAGCGTGGATTCCACTGGTTAATGTTCAATTCAAAGACGTCCAGAACAGTGAATCATGTGGGATGGAAGACATTCGTGTTGTCGAGTTGAAGGATAACGTACGTTTCATATGGATAGGATGGTTAGGATTTTCTCTTATTCGACTATCCCTATGAATGAATGCGTAGCTCAAATTTGCCAAAAAAACTACAGGACTATTGTTGTCGCTCTTCTAATCGATGAAGGAAGGAATGTCACTTTTGGTGATGATTTATGGAAGAACAAGGTTACTTTTAATTAAATTTCTCAATTGTGCTTAAAAATCCATAATGATTTGTACTACCGTACTTTACAGGAAGATACGGACGTTACATTTTCCTTGGAAGGGAAAATAATTTCTGCGCATAAATGGATTCTGACGCGTAGAAGTGAATATTTCGAAAAAATGTTTAGCGGCAACTGGAGTGAAACGGAAGGATCGTGAGTACTTTTAAAAATACATACTTGTTCTTTTACGTTTATTAATTTAAATTTTGTAGGGTGATTGAGATCAAGGACACGAAGTATGCTATATTTGAGGCCCACCTTTTCCACATTTACCACGGAAAAGTCACCTTTTCGTGGACAAGAATGACAATATTTGTGGTGATGATGTTTATTTTAAACATAACAAACTTTCAAATAATAAAACAATTTTAAGTAATATAAATTAAGCTAATTATTAAGTACTATTAAATGTGCCTAATTATTTTTTAGACCATAAGAATTTGGGCGGATTGTTATTACTAGGAGAAGAATCGACGTTCCTGTGAAGAGATTCTAATTTTGGAATATCAACGCGGACGATGAATACGATTTGGTTCCAAATGCAGCTTCAGCTAACGCTTATCTACCTGATATTCCTTTGTAGCTTTCTTTCATATGCCACCAAAAGAATAATTCGGTATTTTATTATGTTATTATTTTATTGTAGTATATTATTATATGATTATTATATTATTTATTATTATTATAGTATATTATTATATTATTATTATTATATTATTAATTATTAATTTTTATTAATTTTATTTTAATTTTTACTATTATCATTATACTATTATTATACTATTTTATTATTTCATTTGTACCTATTATTATAATCATTTTAGGATTTGAAGGTGGAGGTGATCAAACTCATTTTGAACAATCGAATCGTCGACAAAACCTCATCGACTGAAGACCACGGACGACGAATCCCTCGTTGTCGTGGACATGCGCTAATTTCGCCGTTTTCAAAATCTCAAAAATTTAACCAACGACGTCGAGGCGAACAAAATGATGAGTAAATACGTGATTTTGGCATATATAAAATTGTGCAATCATAATTAAATTAGATATTTAGATAATTATATAATTATAATTATTATTATTATTAATATTATTATATTATATAATGTAATTATTATTAAATAATTAATATATAATTAAATATTGTTCTTTGTTGTCCTGTTTCTAGACAATGGTTGGCACACTTATTCGTGTCCAATTTCTTCCGTATTTATTAAGTTCTTCTAGTGGCGAGACCAAGGTCATCTCGTTCGGAGCGATTTTCACCATCTACTCAAGAAAATAAAATAACAAATAACCCGTTAGAAAATTAACTTTCGCCCTCGTCGTCGCCATATCGCCATTTGATATTACAATTGATATTACATATCTCTCAGGATATTTCTTACGGGGAATGAGATCATCGACAAGTCGAGTGGCTCCTGTTGGGCAGACAAGTGAAGCAGCATCTCGGCCGCCTCTTTGTCTTTGGGGGAGAACTTGGGTATCTTGCTTTCTTTCCGGCCCTCCAAGTCACCCCACCCCCATGTCGACGAGATACTGGAGCCATGACGGGAACAAACACAAAACTGGACATAAAAATCAAAAACTTGGTGAAACTGGACAAATTTCTGAGAACTCCTGATCAGCGATGTGCAGTCTGCGAGGAAGAAGATAACTGGAACTGAAAATTGAGTCGCAAAAGTGCCGATTCATCCCAAAAAGGGAAAATATTGGTCCGACGGTTGAAAATAAAGGTGGTGGTGGGTGAATATTTTTCCATGCTTGTTTTCACTCGTGAAAAGTGTTTTTTCTCCGGTCATTGACCTCGCCACCACAGTTTTTACTTTTAAGCCTAGTATTCACCTTGTTTTTCGGGCGAAAATTTAAACGGAATATTTCGGCGAGAGAATTAAGTTTGGTTCGAAAACCAAAATATTTTCTTGAATAATTTCTGCCTGAAAAGCCCATGGTATTCACGTCAGATATTTTCAGCAGACATGATCTCACCTGGGAATTACACCACTTAGGTATTTTAATTATAAACACACTAATTAAAGTTTAAGGTTTTTAAAACGAGTTACAAAATGCGTAATCTGAATCTACAAAAGATAAATAGTGTGAAAATTTGAAATTGCCGCTTCAATTTTCAGGCGAAAACTTTTTCGCCTCAGTTCAGCCGAAAAAAATCAGCTAAATTTCGGTCGGAAGAAAAACCGCCCCAAGTTTTCACCCGAAGTATTTTCTGGGGTGAATACCGTGAGGCGAAATTTTTTCACTTTTCGCCCGAAAAGTGTGTGTTCACGCGAAAAACATAATACTTAGCCTTACTCTGAAAAGAAACTTATGTTTATTTTCTGTGAAAAATGTCTAATTATAAATTAACTAATTAAATGAAGAGTCATAAATAAATAATTATTTTGATACCCTAGTTCATTTTATTTTATCCCCGTTTTGTATAACAAAAACCTTGTAAAATTATTAAAAAATCGTATTTTTTTGCCCATCACCTGCCGAATTAAATTTTATTTTTGCAGTATCATAAAATTAATGAAAACAACATTTGACCATCACCAGAATTAAAGAATAACTTGGAAATTTCTTCTCTTTGCTCGTATTATTAAAAAAAACACCCAAAGTAATAATCAAACATAACAAAGTAATAATCAAACATAACAAAGTAATAATTTTTACCCATTACCGAAATATCTAAAAAAAATTACCCCCCTAAAAAAACAATCAATCAAAAATCAATCAAAGGTGTTTGAACCAATTACTTTTCAGATATAAAAATTAATCATACAAACGAATTGAATAGAACAAGTGAGGAATAAGGAAAAAATGAGGAGTTTGCAAAAGAGTGTTATGCTTGATATAATATCTATATTATATTATATTATATTTCTTACTATTATTCCTTATATAACATTTATATTATATTATATTTCTTATTATTATTATTATTCCTTATATAATATTTATATTATCTTATATTTCTTATTATTATTATTATTATTATTACATTATTATTATCACTATTACCTGTTCTTCTTATTCATCAATTCAATTCATTTATTTATACGATTAATTTTTACACATTAGAAATAATTGGTTCATATCATTAATAAAATTATTATGTTATGTGGAGCGTCTCAAAATGCCATACAATTGTTATCATGTTTCCATTAATTCGCACTGGAGATGAGACCAGTTTTCCCGGTGGTGAGACCAAGGTCATCTCGTTCGGAGCGATTTTCATCATCTGCACAAAAAAATAAATAACCCATTAGAAATTTATTATTTACCTTCTTCGCCATCATACGATGTTTATCACCTATTTTTCTTGGTTCTTACCCGAGATGAGACCACTTTTCCCGGTGGTGAGACCAAGGTCATCTCGTTCGGTGGGATTCTCACCATCTGCACAAGAAAAAGACGTAAGAAAATGTTTATTTACTTTCGCCCTCGTCGTCGCCGCCGATACTCACCTTTCCTCCTCCCCCTTCTTGTCGCCCTGTTGCTTCCTTTTGTTTCGTCGACAAGTCGAGTGGCTACCGTTGGACAGACAAGTGAAGCAACATCTCGGCCGCCTCTTCGTCTTTCAAGGAGAACTTGGGTCTCTTGCTGCCTTTCCGACCCTCCAAGTCACCCCCACTTCCACCCCCATGTCGACGAGATACTGGAGCCATAACGCGAAGAAGAAGAAAAAACTGGGACAATCAATTCCACCAAATTGAATATTAAACTAAATTAATTAAATTAAATTGAAAAATATATCCTAACTATTTGTATATGTTAAATTTTAAAACGAATACTGGCATAAAATCATAATCACTTAAATAACCAAACTAATAACAAATTCAGTCCAAAATTAACAAATGTAAATACATTCCATTTATTTACCCAATATTCTCAAATCTTCCATACAATTCAACTCTTGAATTAAGAAATACGAAAAAAGGTACGAAAAAAGGTACGAGAGGTTACGAAAAAATCAGGAGTTTGCAATAGGGGGATGAAAAATAATTACCATTACCTGCATATACTCCTCATTTTTTTCCTAACCTTATTCATCAACTTGTTCTTCTTTCCTTATATAATATAATATATATTATATTATATATTCCTTATATAATATTTATATTTTATTATATTTCTTATTATTATTTTTATTAATATTAATATTATTACAACCATTATTACTTGTACTTCTTATTCATCAATTCAATTCATTTATTTATACAATTAATTTTTACATGAGAAGTAATTGGTTCACATCATTAACCAATCATTAACTACTTCATAGTTTAATTTATCGAGTATAATGACAGATAAACCTTTAATTAGTTTTTTATTTAAATTTATTTAAGTTTGCATAGGATAAATTAATAACCTAAATTAAATTAATAAACTAAATTAATTCAACTTTATATTATGATCAAGAATTTCTGGGATGTTTATAATATGATTCTTGTAATTTGGGGTAATCGAAGTCTTTATATCTTGGGGCAATTTGAAAGTTTTCACGGTTAACGTCCGATTTGACGGTTCCGGCTATCTTGACTACGGCTAACGGCTACCTGGCGCCTCATCCGCTGGAGTTGTTGTTGAATCTCAAAAATCAGCAGAATCCAATCTCAAGTGGAAACTAAATTGGGATTTCATATTTATAATTAAATTGGTGCTTAATTAGTCAACTTATAAATTGTTCTGGTCGTGTGGCGAAGATGTCGAGTAAGTTTTTTTTGGAAATTTCATAATTTTAGTTTATAAGTTTGAACGACAAGTAAACCGAAAAACTGATTTAAAAAAAACTTTCATAATTTATTTTCAATTAAATTCAGTATTTATTTAAATGTGAAATAAATATTTTGTAAGTACACAGTACTAGATGAAGCTAGCTATTTAAAAATGAGTCAATTCACGCAGTTCTTGGTAACTTCGTAAAATCCATAAACTTACAAATATTAATAAAAATTAGCTTACAAATTTTTGCTGACTGATCAAGGCCCTTGATTCAAGGGCTTCTTTTTATTTTTTAAAGGTTTGTAAATAATTTGACAAAACTTACGGGTTTTTACGAGATTATTAATAAAATACTGCGCGAATTGCCTCGTAAAGTGTGTATTTTTGGAATATCCAGGTTTCAAAATCGCTCTAATCCAGTTGGCCGTGACTGCCTCCAAGTCGGATAACCTACTCCGTGCTGCGAAACTTATTCGAGAAGCGTCTGAAAAGGGGGCAAAGGTTGTCAGTCTTCCGGAATGTTTCAACTCACCGTATGGTATAAGTAAGGATTAACGAATTTCTTGTACATTTATGTATGTCGGACTTATCAGAAACTAATTGAGTATGTTTTGTGATAGAATACTTCCCAGAATATGCTGAAAAGGTGCCAGATGGTCCGTCTTGTGAGGAGTTATCAAAGTGTGCCAAAGACAATAAAATATACCTGATTGGAGGCTCTATTCCGGAAGAATCGGACGGGAAACTGTTTAATACTTGCACTATTTGGGTATAAACATTAAGTAAATTGATGGGCAAAATAGTTGCTCCAAATGTATAGTATTTTTTGATCTCCGTTCTTCCAAGGGTTTAGATTTCAAGGGCTGTTACACCCACAAAAAAGACGAAAATCTACGTGGAGAAAACATAAGTCCTATGAAATTACAGGGTTTGTGAAGAAATTAACTTTTTATCGCAGTCAAAATACTACATTTTTAAAAAATCTTGAAAATAATGTATTTTGACGGCGATCAAAAGTTAATTTCTTGAAACAAAACCATTATTTTCGTGTGACTGTGCTCTTCTTGATGTAGATTTTCGTCTTTTTGTGGGTGTAACAGCCCTGGAAATCCAAACTATTGGAACAACAGAGCTATAAACATTATTGTTTAACAAAATATTTTGCCCAGTGTACAGATAGTATAATTTACCGCAAACGATACTATATGTACGCTTTGATTGCGTTATTTATTAATAATTATGATGCAGTATTATATTCGCAACCTTATCTTTGTACAGGGTCCCACCGGCAAACTGTTGGGGAAGCATCGTAAAGCTCACCTTTTTGATATTGACATTCCTGGCAAAATTACCTTCCAAGAGTCCAAAGTGCTTTCTCCCGGGAATCAGATGACCATCGTTGCCACAGAATATTGCAAAATTGGGATTGGAATTTGTTACGATATGAGGTTTCCGGAAATGGCGAAAATATATACGGACAGCGGGTGTGATCTTCTCATCTATCCGGGAGCCTTCAACATGACGACGGGACCGGCCCACTGGCAAATTTTGCAACAAGCTCGAGCAGTCGATAATCAGGTATGGATTGGATAAATATTAGTGCAAAAGCTACATATTTGGTAATGATTTAAACTATATTTAGCTAATTGTACTTTAAAGGTTTTCATGGCCACGTGCGCTCCAGCGAGAGACGAAACTGCAGATTATGTAGCGTGGGGACATTCCATGGCTGTGAGCCCATGGGGGAAAATTTTAGCCGAGGCGGATGCCGGCGAAACAATTGTTTATGCCGATATTGGTGAGAATTGATAACCAATTTTTGTATGAAATTGCTCATTTTCACACAAGAAAATAAAGTGTGAAATGTAGTAAATAAGTTAAGATAATGTTAATTAATAAACATTTTGATAATTGCTCACAGATTTGAGTCAAGTTGCTGAAATTCGGAAACAAATTCCTATCCGGATACAAAAACGGGACGACATTTATAAACTTGTTGAGGAAAAGTGAAGATATTAAACAACAAAGAGACTAATAAAATGATCAAATAGCTACTAGTCTAATCAAAGAATATTATGCAAATGTAACAAATTAATATATTTTTGAGTGTGATGTTGTTTAAATAAACATACGACCCGTACACTTTGTAAGTTTGTTGTGTAAATGGCGTAATACATGTGTATCTTTATTTATTTTTACCGAGTTTTACTTCTATTTTTTTATACCACAATTTAAATAAGCCCTAACTCACTCGTCGCAATAATAGGTTTAAAGTGAATATCCAACAGTAGTTTATGTAGTTTAGTGAATTGAAAATTGAATATTTATGACAAAATTGTGATTATAAGATCACACTGGTACATACATATTTTAGTTTTTATTTAGCGCTTGAAACTTATCTATTTGATAGTCAGGTAGGTGTTCTGCAAGTTTTTACGATGCCCAGGCTGCCAATTCTTTCATATCTTCGTCATCCTCTTCTTGTACGCGACGTGCTAAAAGAAAGGTTACAAAGAGAAGGTTATCAATCATGATGAGAATATTTCCAATAATTTATGGGGAATATTTAACTGATCATGATTTAATCCTAGTCCATGATAAGTGTTTTTTAACAGAAATACTTCTTTTACTCGTAATAATAAACTATTTGGTTGTAAATGGAGTATTATAAATACTCCATTTTGCCAGAAATCACAAGATCGCTTCAAAATTTTAAATTTTAAAAAACTTTACAACTTGTATCGATTCTTATTAACCAACCACAAATGGCTTGAAAGCTTTTGCTGGTCAAGCAAGCTTGCATTTCTTTTAAGATAAGATTATTTCTCTGTTATGGCCAACTTGGATTTCATTTTGATAAGAAGTATTCAGGAAAAAAGGATTAATCATGGTCGCAAAAAGTATAATTAAATTATGATTAGGACCAATTAACTTACCAGGTTGTCTCGATCCAGCCGGTACGTTGGGCAATTGTTCCGGGGTGACAGGTAAGTCATTCGTGACAGGTCCAACTTTAAGTAATTCTTCGTCCAACGCTTGTTGTTCCAATTCTTCCAACTCCTTCTCCAACTCGTCATCGTCTACGTCCTGACCAAAGGCGAGCGGGTTGGAAATGGCGTCTGAAATCTCTCTCGCGACTTCTTGTTGCTCGGCGATATCGTCCATCATGTCGTGAACCTTGTCGACGTCCCTAAAACAAAAACGAAAAGTAAGTACACATTGTTAACACGTTATCTTTTCAGTAATTAATAAATAAGATAAGTCCTCCTTACATGTGTTGATGCGCCGCTTTCAGTGCTTTGGCCGCTTCGCTCATCGTGTTGAGGACGGCAGTATTTGTATTCGCACTTTCCAGCGCTTCACGCTGCATCTCAATGGTGGACAAGGTCCCATCAATTTGCTGTAATTGTTTCTCATAACGTTTCTTCCGTTTCAGTGCGGACAGAGCGACTAGACAAAGAAAAATATGTAATTAATTAGTTAATTAACCATATTTTTAACACCTTTTCATCAATTTTTCCTTGTTTTCACCAACCCAATAAAATATCAATTAAATTAACTAAATTTCAGTGCGGACAGCGCGACTAGACAAAGAAAATACGCATATTTAACTAATTAACCATCTCTTTAACACCTTATCTTCTCGTCCCCACCAATTTGTCCTCTTTTTCAACTAACCCAATTAAGTATCGTTCAAATTAACTACATTTTTCACCGCGGACAAAGCCGATAAACCCGGAAATTAAATACTTGGTTAATTAACCACCTCCTACACGTCACCTCACCTTTTCATCCCTACCAATTGTTTCCCTTTCTCTTAACTACCAACCTAATTAAATATACTTTAAATATGTTAAATGCTAATTTCCTCACTTACCTCGCTTATTTTTCGTCCCATTCTTCCTCGCAATTCCTAACTCGGCTTCAATCTTCTTTTCCAAAAAGTCCTGCTTCTTCATCAACATTTCCTCAGTTTCTCTCAATTTTTGAATCGCCTCCCCAGAAGTGATGGCCTTTTCATCTTTCTTGAATCCGAAAATTTTCGTGAATGTACTCATCTTTTCCGAACGATCAAAAAGAACAAGTTCCCTTCCCAGACAAACAAATGATCAAGTTAGTTAGTTAATTAGTTAGAAAAATAGTCAGTTTTCAGTGGGGGGTGTGGTTGGTGACTAATTAATTGAGGAGACTGAGGAATATTTTTCAGCTCAAAAAGAGAGACGAAAACCAACGAATGAATGATGTGAATGTGGAGAAGAAGATAAAACAAACAAGAATATGGACCCAGCCTAGGAGAGATTTGGATTTGGTCGGTGGTGGTTTTTTAGTTGAGTGTTCTGCTGGCTGGCCACTGCACTTTTTGGCGAGATTGAGTCACTCACTATTCTACTTACTACTCCCGCTATGCCGAGGATGACTCATCTTCGTCACACACACATCCGCGTCATCGTCACTTTCATAAGTAGAAAAAAATTTGTGTTCTTCGTCATCAATGTGAATTGTGATGTTAAGTCGACTGGTTTGTTATGATGTAATGGTGGTGATGATGAGATGATTGATCAGTGGCCGCGGAAGGTGTGGGACATGTATGGATGTTAATATTGTAGGATAAGGGGGGAAGGGACGGGTTTGTATAAGATGGGGAGATGATGCGGACATCGAACAACCGTGGGGGCAGAGGGACGATGTCCTTCTGCGGCCACTGCATGCATGGGGGTTATCGAGAAACTGACATTTTTGCATGTCGAAGAGTCTGCATGATGATGCTATGCAGATGAGATGAGACCTGGGGTTTTGTGGTTATCGGGAATCTGACATTTTGCAGATTAGGTGGTTGGTTTTGCGGATTAAAATAGTAATTGTATCAAAAGTGGGTCTTTATTTTTAACAGATTTTTTTTCATGGAATATGTAAATATGTCGCAATTTAATAAGTTAGTTAGTTAATTAGAGAACGAGGCGTCGTATAAGGTGGCATTTTTTGCATGCTGGATCTCTGTCATGATGATGATCATAAGCACAAAGTATGAGATGCGATGAGATCTGTGCTTGTCAGATTTTATGGTTATCGAACATTCTGCAGATTAGGTGGTTGGGTTTTGCGGATTAAAATAGTTTTATATCAAAAGTACATCTTTATTTAACAGATTTTTTTTTTCATGGAAAATAAATAAATATGTAGTTGTAATTTAATAAGTTAGTTAGTTAATTAATTAATTAGAGAACGAGGCGTCAAAAAAAGTGTGTTATCATCATCACTCCAAACATTTGTAGTCACAACTTTCATTAAAAATTGCGGATTGTTTGGCAATCTTGACCGTTTCCTTCCACGTGGTGGGAGAGAAGACGTCGAGCAGGCTGAAAACAAAAAAAAATTTGAAATTTTGAAAAAATTTTGATTTTTTTTTTATATTTTGCACATACGCAAAAATGAGTTGTTTTCCTTTGACCCCGTTGAGATACGAGCCCGAGACGCAGGCGACCTTTTGGATGCATTCCTTCTGTCCCAACACGGCGCCCACGGTGGTCCTCACCTCTTCCTGGTAGACGGGGGTGCGGTCCATGGTCCGGTCGAGGAGGTCGTTCGAAGTGTCGTCGTCGAACGAGAGGAGACGACTTTTTCGGCCATCCTTACGTCTCCGGAAGCCAAAAAGTTCCATGATGCGTTTCAGGGCGGAACGAAACCTGGCTGTGGAATGGAAAAGAAATGTGTTTAAATATGTGTGGGGACAATTCTGGAGGGGGGGCAATTGTGTTAAAGTTTTGTGGGACAATGCAATCTTAGGAAGAATGTCGTATTGTCCGGAATGAGAGAAATGGGACAGGAAGCAGATATTTAAATATGTGTGTGGATAATTATGGGGACAATTAAATTAATAAATTGTGGGACAATTTAGTCTTGGAACATTCCATTGTCCTGAATAATTCCTAGCTGAGAAATGGGACATTTAAACATATGTGGACAATTCTGGGGACAATTTTATTGTCCCGAATGATTCTCTCATCCATGAAAACAGTCCTGAGAAATGGGAGGAATACAGATATTTACAAATAAGTGGACAATTCTGGGGACAATTCTATTAAAATTCTGGGACAATCTAATCTTAAAACGTTCTATCGTCCCGAACGTTTCCCTTCCTGAGAAATAAGATATTTAAAACTATGTCGACAATTTTGGGGACATTATTGTCCATTTTCACTCACCCATAAAACCCGTATTTGTCGCCACAACTTCCGTCGTCGTCTTATCCCCCTCCACCACCACCACGGCTGGCACCGCACCCACTTCATCCTGCGCCGGAGCGACCCCTTCTTCCTCCGGGGTCACGACCTTCTCGATCTCTGCCAGCTCCTCCGTCGAAGGGATTGACACCGACGCCACCGCGGCCGCCGCGACCTCGGCCTCACTCACGTTCAGCGCCGCTCGCAGCTTCTCCATCAACTTTTTCTTGTGCTCCTTCGTCGACGTGGTGGGCGAGGCGAGGACAAGGGACGCGGATAAGGTCACGAGGACCATGATAAGGCCGAAGTTCTTCATGATGATAACAGTGTTTCTTAGAGGTGTGTTCACAAGGCGAAGATTTGTCACGAAATGGGTGAGATTTCAAAAGAGGCGAGGGTTTTAAGGGGGAGAAGGACTTGAAACGGTATCGAGATCATGTGCAGGATTTCACGCATGGGATGGATGCAATTTGTACAAGGGTTAATTTTACACAGAGAAAAAGAAGGATTCGTTTCCAGGGTAGGTTTCCTTAACAGAAATTTGTGTATAGAAATACATACGTTTGGCTGGCTGACGTTGTAACGGGATTAATGGCTCCATACATCTCCACACAGGTAGTCATTTAGTCATCAAAGGTGAATGTGATGTGATCCCGAAGAAGAAGACCAAGTGACCCCGATTCTCAGACGTTGGTAGTGGATTTATTTATATCGGGATCTATTTTAATCTGGGCCACGCCAGGTATGTAAAAGTACTTGAAAGAAGGGATTGATGTAAGAGATGGACATGAATGATGAGGATGATATGCAAATTAGGTAGGTCATGCACACACCTTTCTCTCCAGAACGTTGACTTGGAAGAAAGGCAATAATCTTTTATTGGAATAATGAAATTTTATGTTGGGTTACAAATTACGTGCTATTTTTCTATTGTTGTTCTAAATATTGTTCATTTTTCGATTGTTATTGTTCTAAATATTGCTCATTTTTAGGGTGAGTTATACATCTCACAAAATATAAATATGTTCATATTTTATTGCTATTCATTCACTAATTATCACTTAAGAAGTTCATACATGCATAAACTGAAATTTACTGCGACGTAGCTTGACCCGACGCCGACGGTGTTTTAAACTGACCCTGCACTTGGTTTGCGGCGATGCACACGTACACATCACAGTTTTGACCGTAGAGGGCCGAATTTCTAAAAATGTCGTAGAACAGGCTGTACTCTGGTGGAATGTAGCCTCCCGCCAGGCTGAAAAGGATGTAATTATTCCTAATTAATTTATAGGTGGACGTAGAAAAACATTATTCATATTTAACTGATCATAACTTAAGACTTTTTTCATGAAATCATGAAATCCGAGTTGACCATAACGGAGAAAGTATCTTATATTGAGATAAACGCAAGCTTGCTTGACCAGCAAAAGCTTGTGCTTGGGAAAGAATCGATACAATTTGCAAAGTTTTTAAAAAATCTAAAATTTTGAAGCGATCTTAAAGAACGTCCGGGAATGAATGGGAATGGTCTGAAAATGTGGTCATAAAATCACAATGAGTTATCGGAATTTTAAACTTTTTGCATATGTATAATACCAAATACGTACCTACATAATTTAATTAATAGCTAAGGCCGCCACACCCCCGTTGGCGACTAGTTCGATTTTCTTGCGAAGATTTTTCATTAAATTTTTTCCCGAAGTTTTTGCCACTTCCGAGGTGATTTTCTTCCATCGTCCTTTGAATTTTCGAAAGGTGTCAGGCACATCTTGAAGCCGGGAGTATACTGACTTAGAACGTGCCCAGAATTTTTCGATTGGGCGGAGTTGGGGTACATTAGGTGGGTTGATATCTTTTGGTACGAAATCAATATTTTTCTTTCTGAGGTACTCGGTCACTTTCTTTGCATAGTGACAAGTGGCGAGGTCAGGCCAAAACAAAACTTTATCATTTTTGTGAAACCTATTAATAAATGCTTCCAATCCAGCCTTGACGCAATTTTTCAGATAAATATCTTGATTGATATTCCCTTCGAGAACTACCGGGTCTGATACATGTCCGTGACTGGAGATGCATTGCCAAATGCAATATTTCTTTGGAAATTTGTCTTTTTTTCGTACTTTTTCTTCATAAGCCACTTCAGAGGGATCCGAGCTATGAAAAAAATGACGCCCTGGAAGATTTGAAGGGTCAACCGGAACATACGTTTCGTCATCCAGGATCACTACTTTTCCACGCATTTTCTTCAACAATTTTTGACAGCAATCCTTGATCCGACTGTCTTGTACGGGCTTGTAATTTGGTGCAGGTTTTTTGGTCCTTGCTTTGATTCCTAATTTATGGACCTTAATTTCCCCCAGGTAGCTTTTGGAAATTTTGACTTTCCTGGCAGCTACAGCTACTGACGTTGATGGCTTGGTTTTGAAAATTTTTTCAATTCTATTTTTCACTCGAGTGGTCGCTAGCTTCGCCGGACGACCAGCTGGCTTCTTGAATTGCACATTTTCGGAATCCTTGAACTTTTTTATGTAGGAATACACATTTGAACTTGGAATTCCTTCCTGCTTAAAAAAGTTCCAGGTCACCTTGGAGTCTCGGTTGGCTGTCGTGTTGTAGAACTCCATCACTCGTTTTGCTAACAGCTCCCTTTCAAACAAGCTTCTTCTACCCTTATCCATTTTTGAAATTTAAGAGTGATATACCAAATTGACCCTAATGAAGTGGGCTTTCAGAAATTTAAATTATTATAGTTCGCGGGTTTATTGATTTGTCAATATACTCGCTAGAGCGCGCATTCCCATTCATTCCCGGACGTTCTTTAACTTAAAAATTATAACTTCTGGCAAAATCGAGTACTTATCGACAACGAAATACTTTATTATTACGGGTAAGATAAGTATTTCTGTAAAAAAACACTTATCATGTTCGGAAGTAGTATTAAATTATGATTTGGAAGACATTTTTGCTTGGCTAAGAATCTATGCGATTTGTAAAGTTTTTAAAAAAATCTAAAATTTTGAAGCGATCTTAAAGTGTGTTATCATTCCTGGCAAAATCGAGTACTTATCGAAAACACGATACTTAATTATGAAGTATTTCTACTTAAAAAAAACGCTTATCATGTTCGGAAGTAGGATTAAATTATGATCAGTTAAACATTAAATATTTGACTCACATAAACATTAAATCCCGTCCGGGCAAGTCTTTCATGTAGTTGCCGAGAATGCAGGCGGATTTGCGCATGCACTGGTCATCTCCGTGATAAGTCCCGTACGCCGCGTCCAACATGTTCTTCGTGGTGGGGTCTTCAACCTTGAAAATGTCCACGATCGGGTTCCCACTTCCGTTTGGGGGAGGGCGAGGGGCAGGTGGCGCCGCGGCGGCGGCTGCTGCTCCCACGGGGGACGGAAATTGACCAAAAATACCGGGAATTTCCTGTCTCGGAAACTTATTATCGGGAGAAGGTTGTGGTGAAATGTTGCCGTGTTGTTGGATAGGAGGAGGAGGTGAGTTTGCAAACTCGGCGCCAGCAATTCCTAGAGAAGAATTTGCGAATTTTGGATTGTATTAAAGATTTGAGAATTTTGCAGACAAATTGTACTTAAGATTTGCGAATTTTTCGTATCAATTTCACATGTTTAGGAAGACTCTTACCATTAAACAAAATTACGAGGAGGACGTACATGATGGAAAATATGGCAAAAATGACGAACCCCTTCATGTCTTAAATTTGCGATAACTTTTTTTTTGCAATACAATCCAATCTGCTCTTGTACAACTAGTAGAAAATTAATGAATGATGGCTAGAAACGAACCCGACTACAAAATCTCCAACTTTGTGCAACTAACAAGGTTGGATGCTCAATATGCAAATTTTTGAGATGCAAAATCCCCTGCAAATTTCACTTACGAATAGATAATGCGAACTTGTGTATGTAAAACATAAGATAACGAGAAAAGGTTAGATGCTCAAGATGCAAATTTGTGAGATGCGACATTACATTCTATAAATTTCTGAGATGCAAAACCCCATGCAAAGTTTTAAGATGCAAAATTCCATGCGAACTTTCGAGATGAAAAATCCTATGCAAATTTCTGAGATGCAAAATTCTATGCAAATTTCATATGCGAACTTATGAATGTAAGAATTTATTATTTACAAAGCAATGTACACCCATTTATTCCCAAATCAGTCCTTATCTACATGCAAATTTTGCTTATCATCCCAATACGCGACCGCCTCCACGACGGAGGTGACGAGATCCAGCATGACGTCCGTGTCCACATCCAGTCCCCCCCAGTCCCCAAGACTTCTCCTCGTCCCGGGAAGATAAGCGATCCCCACGATCCACAAAATATACCCATGAATCACAATCATAAAAACCATGATCATCAGCCCGAAAAATATGTTGACCATCCTACCCGGTTGAAAATCGGTGCCGGCAAGATTCAGAAAATTCAGGGGGTTTTCGTCCTGCTTGATTCCGGGGGATGAGCCAGGTTGAGTAGCGGCGTCACCGGAAGTTGCAGGGGCGGGTTCAGAGGGGTCGAATTCGTCGTCGTCATCGAAAAAGGCGGGGTCATCTCGAGAGGGGGATGACGACGACGACACGTGATGTGACGATGTGTCGTCAAGGGGTGACGATGAAGGTGACGATTCCTCCGCCTCCTCGTCTAAATAATGACTTCCGGCCGGATGCTGTTGACCATTTTCCTCCGTGTCGAAATATCTGACGGGAAAACCAGATGCGGCGCGACGACGAAGAACGTTTTCGTCCTCGGGGTCGTCCTCCTCCCGCCAAACTCGGCTAAATTTCCGCCGCGTCACGTGACCTTGACCCCCCTCCGCACAATGGAGGATGTGCAATAGGAAGCAGAATTGGAAAATATGGAAAATCTGCATATTTTTATGTTAAAAAATGTGTGTGCTTCTTAAAATTTTGGGTGGAAGGGAGGGAGCCCTTGGGATTCAGTGTCATCTTTTTGGTCAGTGTGGCTTCCTATTTATACTCGAGAAAGGGAGACACCGTAATAAATTAACTGTAGTTTAATGCATGTACATACATCACACATGGACACAGGTGGAGGATTGATGCACGTGTGTAGGATGTGATTGCCATTGAACTTCACCTAGGCTTTGAGACTATTTAAGTATCATTTGAGAAATATATTGTTCATTTTTTACTATTAAAAAGTCAAATTAAACGAAAAGCAGGGACCCTTAAGGTGAAAGTCTCGCAGCGGATGCGATCCGATTTTGAGTAAATTGGTTTCAATCGATGGCAAATTTGACTGGTATGAAATTTACGAAAGACACGATCTCCCAATGGGCACGTTTGGCCGAGATGTTTGCATCCCAAGAGGAGAAAACGCACAGCAAATTTCCAAAGTGTAACATATGTCGACTTTAAGGCGCTTTTTCTCCTCTTCGGATGCAAATATCTCGACCAAACGTGCCCATTGGGAGATCGTGTCTTTCTCAAATTTCATACTAATCAAATTTCTCATCGATTCACACTAATTTTCCCAAAATCGGAGAGCCTCCGCTGAGAGACCTGCATTCTTAGTGAGAAGCCAACAATTTTGAGACAAGTCTGATGTCCAAGTCTTCTGAGCGTGCTGGTGCCATAAAATGACACTGATGAGACATTCATTCATACCCCCGGACTGGACTCACCTGTCTCATCCCGTACCGATCACAACAAGATGCACATTCATTCATTCAAATGCATGGAATTCTTTTCCTCACCAAAATAGAACTCGACATTCACCTGATTTGATTTATTTTTCATAAATGGCCTCAAAATACCTGACTAACTGTGCATTTTACATATTTAAATGTTGCAATTTACACTCAAAATTTCAAGTGACCCGAACGGTTTCGCACTTGAGGGAAGAAATTCCATCCAATTTGAGGCATCCCTCCGTCATAATCCAACCTGTTATTAATTTATGTAGGTCATCACGTAGAAACCTTTGGATCGGTCCTCAAAACCGGACTCCAAAAATATCCCAAACAATACATGGAATTTCTCCCACAATCCGAACCACCGTTAGAGCGAGGAGTGCAATAATAATGTCCAAAGAGACACCTTCCTTCTCATTACGGTTTCTTGTCATCATAATCATAACATAATCCCGTCCCGATTTATTTCCGACGTATGTACGTAGCGGGAGGTGAGTTATTTAGCTCAAGGGATGACCAACAAGGACCCTTTTTCCGGAAGAAGGTGCCACAAAAGGATCATAACGCTAACGCAACATGATAATGACGCGTTGCTCTACTTCTGGGTGACAATGGAAATATGTACGCGTCCTATGAAGACTATTTCCAGAATATGCAAAGTAGGTTATGCCTTCGTGACAACGATGACATATAAAAACGAACTTGGTCACAAATTGGAAACGCATTAAAGTCCCAGAACTTGAAGAGATCTCTTTGCTCCCAAAGTTTTCAAATTTTCAAAATTTTCTTCTCCTTCCTTTTCAAAATGTCCCATCAGAGTTTAAAGTTTTTCCTGGTTGCCATCTTCGCGGTGGGATGGACGTACGGAGCTGCAGTACCGGCGGTGGTGGTGGGGGAGAAGCGTGAAATGCCACAGGGGGGTCCAGGGGGATATAGTGGGTATGGGAGTGGGTACGAGAGCAGTGGGGGTGGATATGGGGGAGGATCTGCGCCTGCGCAGCAGCAAGCACCAGGGTACGCCATGCAGCCACCCATGCAACAGTATGGAGGCACACCCCCCTATACGAATCCGGGATTTTCCGTGCAAACGGGGATTGAAGGATATTTGGTGAGTGCAAAAAAAACAAATTGTGCAAAATTTGTGCAAAAAATAATTTGTGCAAATACTATCTCTCTTTGTCCACCTTGTTTCCAACTTGCGCCAATGCTATAGGCAATTTAGCTATGGCGCAAGTTAGCAAATTTGCATATGCACTTTAAAATCATGCCTCACTTTCTCCATTATTTCAAATAATCTCTGCAAAATTACAGTCGTCAATATGTGCAAAATTTAAGTATGTCGCAAGTTAGCAAATTTGCACATCTACTTTAAAATAATTCCTCTCTTTCACCACGTGTAGCTTAAAAATATTTCAAAATTTATGTGCAAAAAATGCTAATCTGTGCAAATTTTCTTCTCCTCCCAGGTCCCCAACTCGCAGTTTGGCATCCTCCCCTGGGGCATGGAAGGTGTCGTCGTCGTGATCGCCGCGGTCATCGTGTTCATCGTCATTTCCGTCGCTATTGTCGGACTGCTCGCGTGGCTGACGGGTTTCGGGGAGTACGCGATCGTGAAGGAATCCGCGAGAAACCTGCTGCCCAGCCGGATCGATTTCGAAACCATCACCGACGTGACGAACACCGTGCTGGACGCGTTGGACAAGTATGATGACCTCCAAATGCAAAAGTTGACCAAGTGAAGGCGGCATCCTGATTGATATTTATTTACTTAATTAAGAATTAATTAAGAATTAATTAATTAACCTTCACAAGGTGCCTTCTGCTCGCTATTTATTGATTAAATATGGTACTTATTTAATTAAGGATGCTATTATTGATTAATTAGTTCATTAATTAATTAATTAACCTTCCTGAGGTGCCTTAAATTATACGTTATATTAAATCGTACCCGTATATTTAAAGATAAATTATTAATAAAATAAACACTGTAAAAATCATCTTGTCCAAGAAAACGGGAAACTTTTCTGGTGCATATTTATAACGCATGATGATGACGCGGATTGGTGGATGGGGAAAGTACCGTAAAGGTTAAAATCTGTACCCTTCTTAATTCCATCCGAGATCCGTTATTTTTGCATGTCCTCACGTGGAATAAAAGTCCACTTTTGCATTCCATGCACTTTCTCGCGAGTTGAAGTGCTATCCTCGTCCGTCAGGATTTTTTTTTGGAAATCATGTCGTCCACTTTTTGAGTAAAATTCTGGTGTGTCGGGAAAATTGTTTTTTTTTTGTAAATCATGTTCCCACTTTTTTGAGTAAAATTTTGGCGTGATTTTTTTTTCGGCGTCGTTTTTCGTGACGGTTTTGTCGCCCACTTTTTGAATAAAATTCAAGCGTACCGTGAAAAATAGGTTTTTGTTTTGGAAATCATGTTCCCAATTTTTGAGTAAAATTCTAAAGTCTGCAGGATGGAACAAGCGCGATACGAGTCGACCGATACGCACCTCGTTTTTGAAGGAATCAGGTAAAAAATCGGATAAAATTGAGGAATTTTTGTTAATATTTTTGATATTTATTTTCAGTTCCGGGATAGAAAATAAGTTTGGATTGGAAGCGATTTTTTATGCAATGGGATTTTTGACCTTTATCATCGTTTCCATCCTGTTCATCGATTTGTTCTTTACGTCCGTCACGTCGCCAATTTTTTACAGTAATTTTGCCCCCATGAGAAGGTCACTGGAGGACGGGAACATTTATTTGTCCCGGGTTTTGGAGAGTTTGGAACAAATGGGGAACAAATGGGATTAAGAGAGTGATAAGTGTACTTTTTATGGAATGTGTTATGTGCCACTTAATTATTTAATAATTGTACAATTTGTCCCGATTTTTTTGAACAAATGGAAGTTACATAAGTAGATTTTGTGCAAAATATAGTGACAATTAATTAATTATTAATTAAAACTGAGAAAGCAAAAGAGAAACACTTAATAATTGCATAATTTGTCCCGATTTTTGGAAACTTTGGAACAAGTGGAATTTTATGAAATTTAAGTAGTTTTTATACGAAATAAAGTGCCCGTTAATTATAATTATAAATTAATTAAGCTATTAATTAAAACGAAGCAAAACATAAATAACAAATGGAATTTTAGGGAGTTTAAGTAGTGGTTGTAGAAAATAAAGTGTCAGTTAATTATAATTAGTAATTACATAATTAAACTATTAATTAAAACTAATGAAAAGATAAGTACACGATGAAAAATTATAATTATTAAGCAATTAATTAAACCATTAATTAAAACTAATTAGAAGATACACGATGCAAAAGAATTGTGAGTTGAGAGTGAGCGTAAATTGGATGAAAGTGACGATTTTCTTGGTAATCTTGGTGTCTCACGTGGCCGAGTCTCAAGTTCCCGAGATCCATCAGTCCGCTGCACTCGCACAATACACGGGAATCTAGTAAGTTGAGTCGTTTTGGGAAAATTGAGACGGGTTTGAGTAGTCAAATACTATTTACTCAAACCCGTCTCACATAAGTCACGCTTCTTTTTGTAAACTGGGTAAACTTTTTGGAAAATTATTTTTATTGCAAAAATTCTTTTACAAAGTATTTTATTGAGGTAAATTTAGGATAGATTTTTAACCAGATTTTGATTTTCCTATTTTGAATCTGTGTAAATTTTGTGAAGGTTACGTTTGTATGTAGGTAAACTTCCTTTTTTTATTGCTGGGTTACAAACATTTGAGTGAATTTTCTCATTATAAATGTGTAAAAATGTGCTTATTACCAACTTGCGCCAATGCTATAATTTAACTATGGCGCAAGTTAGGAAAAAGTGAAGATATGTACGTACTTGAAGATTACTTATACCTCTCTTTCTCCATATGCACCTTATACTTCACTGGTTACCAACTTGCGCCAATGTTATACATAAACAATTTAACTATGGCGCAGGTTAGGAAATATACACTTGTACTTTAAACTTATGTCTCTCTTTTTCATGTGCAGCACGGCGTACGGAACTTTCATAGCGATTCGAGAACTGTACTTTTTGGTGGGGCTGGTGACCGTGCTGATTGCGGGAAACGTGCTCCTGACCTTCTTCCAACTTCCGTCCCTCTTCCTCCCCGTCCACCACAACCAACGACGAAGCAGCCACCCCCACCACGTCGACATTGTCGATTTGATTGAAAGTGAGTGACGAAAGTAATGATATTTCATCCGTAATATTTCAAAATAATTTTGCAAAATTCAGGATTTTGATCTCCATTCTTCCCAGGGTTTGGATTTCTAAGTGTGTTACACCCACAAAAAGAAGAGAATCTCTACGTAGAGAAGGTAGCAGTCATACGAAAATACTCGTTTTTTAAGAAATGAACTTTTTATCACTGTCAAAATACATTGCCTTCACGATTAAAAAAATACAGTTTTTATTTTGAGGCAATTCACGCAGTCTTTGGCAATATTGTAATATCCTTAAATTCTCTAAACTTACAAACTTTTACAAAATTTTACTCATATTTCGAAGGAAAATTAGCTTCCAAATTTTTGTAAACTTGCTCAGATCAAGGTAGGTTTTATATTTTGTACAAGTTTGTAAAATTATGGTACAAAACACACAAATTTTACAAGTTACAAATGACTGCATGAATTGCCTCATTGTATTTTGACAGCGATAAGAACTTAATTTATTTACAAAACCTGGATTTTCGTACGACTACTGCCTTCTCGGCGTAGATCCTCGCCTTTTTGTGGGGTCTATGGTCCTTCGGAAATCCAAACCCTAGCAAGAATGGAGCTGAGCATGCTGAATTTTGCATATTGATAATTTACATATATAATCTTGCCAAAATTCTGTCCAGATTTTGCCCAGAAATGGACCACTTTTCCGCCCGAGACCTCGCGTTCATTACGGGCCCCCAACCCGAATTTGACGATAATCACATCGGACTCGCGCAATTCACGCAGAACTCGGTCGTCCCCATGTTGCGATTTTATTCCGCCGTCTACCGAACCTTCATGATCATGGCCATCGCTCTCATCCTCATTTGTAGGCCGTTAATTAAACTAATCCGAATTCATGGGTGGGACTCACCCGCGTACTTTCAAAAAAAGGCCGGCCCCCTTAATTGGCAGTATAGGGGGTTATCAAATAACAGGATTTTAGACGCGATTCATGCCACATATTAGAATTCCTCATTTCACTTTAAAAATGAAAGTTGCAAAATTTTGAAAATTTTTCGAATAAATAAATAAAAGACAAGTCGCGGAGAAATTTTGTTAAAAAATGAGGTATTGCCTTTAATTAGATTCATATAAGATTTTTGACGCAATTAATGCTACACATCAGTAGAATTCCTAATCTTAACTTTATACATGCATAAATGAAAGTTGCAAAATTTTGAAAAATTATAAATAAACTCGAAAAACAAGCCGTCTCCTTAATTGCTATCAAACGACGGGATTTTGGACGCAATTAATGCTACACATTTTAGAATTCCTCATCCTCATTTCAGTTTAAAAATGAAAGCTGTAAAATTTCGAAAATTTATAAATAAACAAGTAAAAAACAAGCCGTTGAGAACTCTTTTTTACTGCTTTGTTAACGAAAAAGGACAGTTTTTCTTGAATTATTGATAATTCTGGACGCGATTAATAAGAAGCTCATCCTTATTTCTGTTTAAAGCTGTAAAATTTTGAAAACTTGTGTATAAATAAACAATAGCAAAAAGTCTTTGAGAAATTTTGTTTACTGTTTTGTTAACGAAATAAAATATCAGGTTTTTTTCCTTAAATTAGCGGTACCTACATGATTTTGGACGCTATTCATACTACATATATTAAAATTCCTCATCCTCATTTGAAAAATGAAAGCTGTTAAATCTTCAAAAATAAAAATAAACACGAGAAAAAAGTAGTCGTTGAGATTTTGTTTACTGTTTTGTTAAAAAAATATCAGGTTTTTCCTTTAATTAGCGGTACATATATATTTTCCTTTCAATCAATCCATCAAATATGCTGCCAGGATGTCGTTCACACTTTAAAATGAGGCTATTTTCAACCCAAAAGTTCAAAGAACGGGACAGAATTTATTGTGGGAGGATTAAAAAGGTGAAAAAATGGTTGTTGTCACCGGACAATTAAGCTTTCACTTAACAAAAAAAATCTCTTTGAGGCACTTGACCCTGCATATTTTTCAGAGGTGGGCAAAATACTTTGTCACAAGATTTTGAGCTATGTTCATCCCAGGGTTTTGATTTTCAGGTGGTATAAAAAGACGAAAATCTACGTCGAGAACCAGTGGCCGCGGAAGCAGCTGTGGGGACGTTAACATTGTAGAATGGGGGAGGGACAGGTTTATATAAGATGGGCAGATGATAAAGACATTGAACGCCATGGGGACATTTTCCCTCTGTCCCCTCACCCTTCCGCGGCCATTGTTCCGTCGAAAATACAGGTTTTCTGAAGAAAGTAATTTTATATCGATGTCAAAATACTTTTTTAAAATCGTGAAAATAACGTAATTTGGCAGAGATTAAAAGTAATTTTCTTCAGAAAACCTGCATTTTCGACTGCCTTAGATTTTCACCTTTTGTGGGTGTAACACCCCCAGAAATATAAATCCGGGGAAGAACGAAGCTCAAAATAGGGCACATTTTAGCAAAGTATTTTTCCCACCCCTGATATTTTTAGGCAGTTGCTCAGGTGTGCACCTCATGAAAAAAATGGCTCAAATGTCTGCTGTCATTATGATTATTTTTACCTCTCACAATTAAAAAAAGGGTTTAAAAAATCCAGTGCTTTTTTTAACTCTCCTCTTTTTTCTCCCTATTTAAACCCAAAGTCACCTTCTCGGAATCGCATTCACTTTCCAAACTCGGAAACTTACTTGTCAATCTTTCCGAAAAAAGTTAGTCATCTTCTTAAACAAAATGAACGCTAAATTGATCTTCGTCACTTTTTACCTGGTTGGGAGTGCCTTGTCCCAATCCGCGCAGCCCGTCCAGCCCGTCAGTTCGGATAACAACAATTCCAATAACGGGAAATCGGAGGGGGCTTATCCAACTTATGTCGGTGGTTATCGGACCTCCAGCCATCCCATTGGAGGATCCTCTTCCCCAAGTGTGAACTACCAGCCAAGCAGCCAACAACGTGAGACGTATCCTGGTAAGTAAATACTTAATCTAGATAAGGTGTAACTTGCGCCATAGTTAATCTAGACGATAGATAGTATGTAACTTACGCCATAGTTGAGGCATAATATGGGCGCAAATAGGGAGCTAATTTGTCTAATTTTATCAAAAAAAGCTCGTAAAGTTCTAGTAAATATTAAGCAGTCAGTTAGTAAATACATTTATTGATAACGTAACTTGCGCCATAGTTAAACCATAACATGGGCGCAAGTAGCGAGGTAATTCGTCTCATCTTATAAAAAAATCTCATAAAATTCTTGGAAATATTCAGAAAGTCAGTCAGTCAGTAGATAAATTTATAAATAATGTGTAACCTGCGCCATACTTAAACTACAACATGGGCGCAAATACCCCGCTAATTCTCATCAAATTCTTTTTCCCCTTCCAGCCACCACCTCCTCCTTCTCACGTGACTCGTACGGCACCAGCAGGGACGCTTCTGGGGGTGGAAATCCCATCTTTGGCGTCTCCAGTGACGCCAACTTCCAACTTTCTGCCTACTTTGGTCAAATTTTCTGGGGTTTCGTCACCGTCTCCGTGACGCTCGTGGTGGCCATTTGGGTTATCCGATTCTTCTCCGGGACCGACGTGGTTGGCGGGTTTTTCAACAAAATTAAGGACTCGTCCGCCACCGGGAAGTCCCTCGACCTTGACGGCGTCACAAATATGGTGTACGACGCGTTGGAGAGTTATGGAAAATGGGCGGCGAAAGAGGTTCGTCACGCGGTGGATGTCAATTCCAAGGGGCGATATTAATTTATTAAATTGTGGTTAATATTTCCAAAATTGTGGATTTTCGAAGTGGTGCTATTTAACTTAATTAATTAATATGCTAATTAATTAATGCTCTCTGTTTTTTAATGAATCTTTTTGGTGCTATTAATAAATTTAAATAAACGTTTTTCTACATGTAAAAAACTTCTACTCCGTTTTTTCTTCATTTATTGAAATATTAAGCATACTCACGTCAAAATACTCATCTTGCAAATTGAGCATAACTTGCAAAGTTTTGCGAGATTTGCGAAATTTCGCAAAAAAATATGCTGGAAAACCATGTTTTTTTTTCGCAAATTTACCCAGCTATTGGGCATATTCTTATTTGGCAAAATTATTTCGCGAAGTCATCCTCAACATGACTAAATAGCAAGAGAAATTACGGAAATATACTGGAACAATATCAAAATAGGTGTTTTTAGTAAATTTTGGAGATTTGCAAAGTCATATTTTGGAAATTTTGTATGAGATGAGACAAATTGGATACCAAATTTGCATCAAAATTCTCAAAAATGTGCCAAATATTTAACTTAATTAGCATCCTAATTAACAATTAATGCTCTCTCTATTTTTTGTGATGCTATTAATAAATAAATAATGCACACTTTTTTATACACATAGTCGCTCAAAATTTTACCCATTTTTTTCTTCATTTATTGAAATATTAAAAATTTTAACAACAAATAATTATTTAATTGTCATATGTACTTGTTCCGCCGAAATTCATAATTATAATTATAATTATTTATTACGAAAAACCTTGTTCAATTAACGGTCGGTCATACATTTAATGAAAGATTGAAGGTTTTTCTTTAACCTTAATTATTTTCTGCATTAACAATTTTTATTTAAGCGCGGTACATACATATGTATTTAAATTGGTTGCTGGTGTAGTTAGTTAATTAATTATGTAAATTACGTATTAATTATAATTAATTAATTAATTAATTAATTCACATTAATTATTATTGATTGATGTGTTTGTGTGTATGTGTGTGTATTATAGACCAAGATTCATATGTATGTACATGATAAATATACACTTTCGGAAATAAATAGGCCATAATTAACTTAATTATGTATTTAATTATAATTAAGATGAAAAAACAGATAAAGATTCACTCCCGTTTTCGTAAACTGGGCAACTTTTGTAAAATAATTAACTTCTCAAACATCCTTTAACAATCTTTAATTTGGCGTAAAATTTCGATCAATAATAATTCCGCGAGCAAAATTTGCCTCATGTTCAACATGATTTTTTAATTAACAAAATTTGATTAATTACAGTTTTGGGCACATTTTATTTATGCAACAATTAATAATTAATTGCCACGTAATTAATTAATACTGACCGTTATAATAAATACATGTGTAGTAGGAGAGAAGAATAATTATTATTTATTATAACGGATTTTTTTTCTCTAATTATAATTTTACATAAATATTTAGTAATTAATCTATAATTAATTAACTGAGGTGTTTTCTTCTGATAATGAGACACCATTACTTAAGATAAGAACAAGATAAGCAGAAAGATCCGAGCAGGGTGACCCGTCATGATTTTTTATTTTTGGCATGTATTTAGAAGAGTAGAAGATAATCCCATTATCGATAATATAATCTTGTTGAGTACAAAGAAGAACAAGAACAAGTTTGAGGACATTATTGTCCCAAAATTGTCCTCACCCTGGCGGCCACGAGAAGAAGAATAAGAACAATAACTTTTACCCCCCTGGGGACAAAATTATTGTCCCCGTAAAAAGCTGTCCCCACGATAAGAACAATTTTTTACCCCTGGGGACAAAATTATTGTCCCGAAGATAAGAACATTGATATGAAAAAGGGATATGACAAAAACAGACTTTGATAAGTAAATTATTGATAACAACACTTTTCCTTCTGCCAAGTAATGCTCTCGTTTTTTTGCCAGCCTATTTATTTATCGATAAGTACCTTATCCATTTACTTAATTATTATTATCCCAGTGATTAATTAATTAATTAATTAATTAATTGATTAATTAGTTAGTATTTTTTTAGTACCCATAAAGTTTTGTTCAGCTCTGGATTGAATATTTTTTTCTTCTTGAGAGAAAGTTTTTTTTAAGCTATAATATTTATTTTTTAGCGTCTGTTTTTTTATCTTTTGCTTATCGATTTATGTGGTTATCGGTACAAAATATATTATCTGCTTTTGATTGGTTTGGTTGGTTGGTAAATATTTCACTTATCGGTGGAGACGAGGCTTATCGATAGAAGAGCTACACGTGACGTGATATTATAACTTTTTTTCTTCTGCGTCTCTCGAGGTACATACGTTCAGGCCCACGGTTATTGATTTTCGCGTAAATTTGTGTATGTGTGTGCAAATAATTTGCATATATTTAGTTAATATGTGTGTATTTAGAAGAATGTAATGTCGGCTTTGGAACAAAAATGTGACTAATTTTACTTATCCCAAAAACTAAGATAAGAGGTGTCAAGAAGAAGATAGTACTAATTAATGTAGGAATCATCGTCAAAATCAGCACATTTTTAAGCATTTCTCCCCCCTGGGAACTTATTTTAAAATTCTGAACGACAAATTTGTAGAGCAAGTCAGCACCAATTTTTTGAAAATATATACACTCCAGATTTTGACACTTTTTGTCGGAGGAGATCTCAAGATTAAGAAACCTTCAGAAAAATTGGAACTCATCGAAACTCGCTTAAAAACTCGACGCCATTCCATCAATCAACTCACTGAGGACAAATTTGTCGTTCAGAATTTTAAAATAAGTTCCCAGAGGGTAAGAAATGATTAAAAATGTTGTAATTTTGACGATTTTCATTGAATCCTACCAATTTTTCTGAAAGCTTCTTAAAAACTTAAGGTCTCCCCCGGCAATAAAAGTGTCAAAATCTGGAGTGTATATTTAAAAAAATTGACAACTCCCTGCTCTACAAATGTGTCGTTCAGAAATTTTAAAATAAGTTCCCAGAGGGGAGAAATGCTTAAAAATGTGGTAATTTTGGTGATAAGTCATCCAGCTAAATGGCAAGTTAACTAGCTTATCGTAGAAATAAATCAACGTTTCTTTGGCCAATAATGTATCCAAATTATGGCAAAAATTACACCATTTCTCCCCTAAATACATACATCATCACATTAACCTTTTCCTCCCTAAATATGTATTTACAAATGTGGTGACACGGCTAACGGTAAAATACAATACAACAATTTATAATCCAAGATATCATCTTTTTGTGCATGTGTGGCATCTTTTTGCATCGACGAACCAATCAATACACGTAAAAGAGTTAAGAATTAATGGTCTCGGACCAGCCAGTTTTTTACACAAATATCTCTGTGTTTTTTGCAATACACTACTTAACAAACTAACGATAAGGTAAGATAAGACCAACAACTTATCTCTACAAAATTGTAAAACTAACAGAACCAAAAAATTTCCTTAAATTACATAATTATGTAACTATAGTTAACTAACTATTAAATATGTAAATACTTTCCTAAGAAGGATATTTAAACATGGAACAAGGAATATGCATTTACTTAAAAAGTATATAACAATTGTCACCACATTTTTTTCTACCAGAGTCATTTCATTACTGCTTAATTTAATTAATCTATACTTAATTTAATTATGTAATTAATTAATTAATTATAAAACTATGTAAATATTTATGTTAATACAGAGGGTGGAAAAACAAGTATAAAAAATCTTTATGTAGCTCAAAAGCAGGGTGAGCAAGACTTATTAATTGGTTATTTAAATATTTAATTATTGGGATTTCACACCTTGCTTAATTAATTAAGTTTAGTTAATACTTAATTAATACTTTATTAAAGAGATATTTAGTTAACTAACTTCATTTAAAGTAAGTTGATAATGAAAGGTCGGTATTTGTTCTTTTTGTTTGTAGATAAGAATAGTTCATAATAATTTAATGATGATGATTAATTAATTAATTAATTAGTAATTATTAGTTAAAAGTTATTAGTAGAGTTTTTTAAGGTCTGTATTTATAACATGATAATAAATAGTATTTTTAAGATATAAAAAGGTTAAATATCACAGGACTGAACAACGCTTGCATTCTTATAGATGCAATTTTTGTGCTCGTTTTTTTCAAAAAAACGATTTAAGTGTCCATGAAATGGGAACAATGATAGCGAGGAAAAAGAGAGATAAATAGGAGATATTTTAGTACATATGCAAATTTTTAGCACTAATTATTCGCACCATTAATGAATGTCATATTTGTAGTTAGTTAATTATTTAATTATAGAAACAATTTGGGGGGGCGGGGGGATTTCTTGTGCCGTAAAATTATTATTGCGTCCCTGGTGAAAAAGTGGGTGGAAAAGGAAACGAAAATTTGTATAAAAATATATAACAGGGTTGATTTTCCCCTCCGTCTGTTCTTTGAAAATTGTAAAAATTTGCATATTTCCGGCCAGAATTTAGTCTATTTATTTCCAAACTCTAAATTTCCTTAGAGAAACTTTCTTTAAACGCGCGACGGTGGATTTGAAATCGATTTCGTGCGGAATTTCCTCATCAGAAAGGGTTTCCCCTTCCGAATGCGCGCTCCGGCGCGATTTGACTTTGCGCGGGCGCGCGCTGCTGTGCGTGGCGGAGTCGTGTAGGCTCATGGCGTGTCGTTCGGTTAAGTATTGGCGGGCTTTTTCGCGGTTTTTAGATGTCCCAGTGGTCGTAGAGGTGGAGGTGGAAGGGCCCCCACTGCCGCCCCCGCTGCTTGTGCTACTTCCCCCACTGCGGTTTTTGAGTTTCGAAAATCTGGCCAGGGTGGAGGCCCGGATTCCTTTTTTGAGACGGTCGCCCCCACTCGAGCCAGGTTTGGAGGAGGAGGAGCCCCCGGAAGAGCCGCAGATGGCGAGGGCTTGTTTCCGGTCGCGGAGGACGAATCTGTGGGGGGAAAGAAAGAGGGGGGATATTTTAGAGCAGTGGTTTTAACCACTCACTATGCAAAACAGCCGTCCAAAATGGGTTTTAGACACAAATTTTTGGCGTACAAATTGTCCAAAATTAAAAATATGGAAAATGTACAAGTTCTTCATTGTTGAATATTTAGATAATCTGTTCTCTCCTTTTAATTTTGAACATTTTGGTCAATTTGGTCAAAATTTCTTAATTTCTCATAAGAAAACATGTAAAAACAAAAGTTTGTCCAAAATTTCATGGTATTACAGACCATTCCAAATGCTCAAAATTAATGTGAGATTAAATATCTGTGGATGAATTTGCAAAAAAGTCGTTAATAAAGAAGAACTTGTAAGATTTTGCACCATTTTAAAATGTTTTGGACGCTTTTGGACATTTATGACATCCAAACTTATTTTGTACAGTTTTGGATATTTTTTGACAATGTCCATTCCAAAAATAGTTTTGAAACGAAATACACCAATTTTGGCACAATTTTTGCAAAACTTGGAGAAAGCACCCACCTCCCAACCGTATTCCATTTCAGCTGAACTTCATAAACGTTTTCTTCATCTTCCAACCATCTGCTGATTGCGCGTTGTGCGGCCTTTTTACGAAACGACCCAGCTGAGTCGGACCCCCCGCCGGACCCCGAGGTGGAGGGGACCATGGGCTCAAGCTCTTCGACGAGGACGAATTTTGAGGGGTCCTCCAAGCGACGCGCTTTTACGAAGGCTTGCGTAATTATGTCTTGAGCAGTGCTTCGAACAGGAACCTGAGACAGAGGGATTTGGTTAGTTAAATACGTTTTTAAACCTTTATTGGGGGTACTCACGACAAATAAATTTCGCAAAATTGAGCGAAATTTGGCAACTTATAATGCTACTCTAACCTTTAGTTGGAAAAGCATTGGTTTCTTTTGCAAATGTGCGGCCATGTTTTTATTTCGCAAAATTATATCGCAATTTAGGCTGAGCTACGATACGACATATGTACATGAGTACCCCTAATTTTAACTATTCACAAGGGACGTCTCCCAACGTATGATCTCGGATTTTGAGCAAATTAGTCTCATTTGATCCCAAATTTAATTAGTATGAAATTTGCAAAAGACACAACCTCCCAATGGGCACGTTTGGCAGAGATATTTGCATCCGAAGAGGAGAAAGCGCGCAGTAAAATCGACAAATTTTACACTTTCCAAATTTCCCGTGCTTTTTCTCCTCTTTCGATGCAAATATCTCTGCCAAACGTGCCCATTGGGCGATCCTATCCATCACAGATTTCATCCAAATTAAATTCGTAATCAATTAATCAATTCGTAATCAACACAAAAATCCGATATCATCCCCTGGGAAACCTATCTTCTCCCTGCATCTCACCCACCTTCAAAATAGCATACGGAATCTCATGCGATACGTTGTGAACACATACTAAAAAGTTTTCATCTTCCCCCCACTGACTCAAGTCGTTGCTGTCTCTGGAGTCGGGATCCCCCATCCCGCCGCCGCCGCCGCCCCTCCCGCGCGCCGAAATGGAGGACAACCACGCCCTGCTGGAGGGGTCATTTCCGGTCTTTTTCAGGATAAATTTCCCCTCCCCTTTCCACTGCGCTTGCGACTGGAGGGGTTTCTCGTTCGGGTCGAGGACGCGCTGCGTGGGGGGCAATTCTTTCTCCTTGGCGTCCCACCCCCGCGCCACTTCTTCGATGAGGACGTACTCGCGCACCGTTTCGACCCCGGTGCGCCCGCTTTTTTGGAGTGCGGAGTTGATCACTTCGGCCGCCGTGGTGTCCTGGGTCACTTTGAGAACGGTGTAGGGTTCTTCGGAAACGACGCCGTATACGACGAGGAAAAACATGCGGCGTTTCAAGGCGACGGAGGATTTCGTGAGGGAGGGTCCGATCAAGTGGCCACCTGTTTTTTAGGGGGAAAGAAATGGAGTTATAATTTGATAAGTGGTTTGACCGTATAATTCGTTATTTTCGCTTTAGATAAGTGAAAGAATTTAACTGACTCGTGGCTTATTAAGTAATAATTTGTTTGAAAATAAATGTACAAAATTTTGTTCCCAATTTTGCAATTTTGTACACAATTCACATAATTTTATGCACAATTCTGTACACAATTTATAAAATTTTTTGCACTATTTTGCTTTACAATTTATGAAATTGTGTACACAAGTTTGCACTCAATTTATAAAATTTGTACACAATTCACAAACTTTTATGCACAATTTGTACATGATTTATAATTTTTTTTTACACAAGTTTATGCAAAATTTAGCACACAATTTACCAGATTTTATACACAATTTTGTACATCGTTTACAAAATTTTGTAAGCAAGTTTGTACACAATTTTGCACACAATTAATAAATTCTGTACACAAGTTTGTATACAGTTTACAAAATTTTGTACACAATTTGCAACCTAAATTCAATCCCAATTTATCTTATCAAATACCAACCACCCACCTTCCGAAACCGGTGTCGAATCCCTCAACGAATCCTCCTTCGACAAGCTCTTATTCCCCTCATGAATCTCCTCCCCTTCCTCCTCCACCCTCGCGTGGATAAACAACGTGCTCACCGGTAACGGCTGGCTCCTCGTGTTCCTCAACCGAATGTGCCGATACCCCATCCTCAACGCCTTGAAGGGAATCACCCTCTGCGCTATCACATGCCCACCCCCACTCGACCCAGTATCCCACACATTAAACCGAATAAAACTCAAGTCCCGAAACTGTATAATGAAATCTATCGTCTCATTCCAAATCGGATTTAACGCATTCCTCGAAATCACCCGGGTCTTCTGCTTCGAACAATCGATCGGAATCCCGGTAATCTCAATCTCCACGAGCGGGCTTATCTGATAATTCGCCGGGGATAAGAACTGCCCCGAAATTACGGTGAGATGCAGGTGAACCGTGTGCAACCCGTCAAATTCCTTCTCAAGCGGGTTAAATCGGCGATACATGACGTGATTCCGGTCCCACATCACGGCCGGTTTTAGGACATACCCGCACCGCCCGTTTTGCTCGAACATGGCGGCATTCACGTGGCCGGTGGGGTCTTCAGTTTGAATATTTAGCGCGACCATTTGAATCCCAAAGGCCCAGAAGATAAGCGGATTGAAGTTGGAGGAATCGATCCGCATGCCGGCCGGATAAGAGCGGATAAGCTGGGTTTCCGTGTGCGCCATGACTTGCAGGGGTTGTTTTCGACATAGTTTTTTGGACGCGTTTTCGTTAAGGGAGGAGCACTGGTAGACGGGGTGGTTCGTGATGACGCGGCGGTTGGGGTGGGAGGAGGTGGAGGAGGAGGGGTGAGGGGGAGGGGGGTCGGAGGTGGTGGTGGTGGGACCACCGGAAGTGGAGGAGGAGGTGGTGGGCGTGACGGGGAGGGAGATGGGGAGCGAGGGGCCGGACGGGGGGAGAATGTTTTTCCGTTGCATGAGCTTGTTTCGAACGGAGGAGGAGGGGGAGAGGGTCGTAAGACCGGAGAATTTTATGGCTTGGATGTAAATTATGATGTCGGAAAGTTCCCGAGCGATTTGAGAGTTTTGTTGTTGTTTTTTCTTTTGAGATTCGTCCAGATCGAGGAGGGGGTAGGTGGAGGAGGAAGAGGGTTCGGTGGTGGTGGTGAGGGGAAGGGGAGTGGGGTGGTGGTGGGTGGAGGAGGTGGAGGAAATCATGGTGGAGATGCCGCGTTTGAGGGGTTTGACGTTGGATTCTTGAGAGGTGAGGGAGTCGGTGCGGGGGGTGATGGGGAGGGCTTGTTCGGAGGCTTGGCGGGAGACGACGAGACGTTCTGGAAGAGAGGAAGGAATTAGGGTTAAGTGATTAAGTTGTTAAAATGGTTCAGGGTGAAATTACATAAAAGAGTTTTGCATAATATGCTTATCTTGCATAATATTTGTTGTAGGAGTATGTACCGCGTGAAATAAGTGAACTTTTTGCATAACCAAATTTCGCCTAATGAGATAAAGTTAATGATAATTATGCATAAAAAGCCAATAGACTGCAAGCATGAAATGCAATGTTTTTGGTGATTTTAGGCATCCAGGAATGATAATGTTTTGTCGATAAGGTCCTAATTTTGCTTATCTGGTAGCTTTTCATGTATTTCTAGCCCTAATTAAAGAATTATACTAAATACAATTATGTAAACATGGTTTTACGTAATTGTGAATTATTCAAAATTACATTATGCAAAAAATTATGCAACTTAACCCCCTTCCCAGCTTAATAATTATACCAAATAGCACTATCTAAAATCTAAACATGCCATTTACATAATTGTGAATTATTCAACCTTACATTATGCAATAATCCCATTATGCAAAAAGAAAATTATGCAATTTCACCCCCTACTCAAAACTCCCCCTTACCATCTTGCTCATCCTCATAATCCGTCTCCGAATCCGAATACTCATCATTCATCGACCCCCCACTCACATTACTCACGATACTATTCGTCCTCGCCGACTGGGGCCGACTTCCCGACCTATTCCGCGTCCCACTCGGCGCCGCGCTCGCCTGCGCGGACGACACCACGTGCTGCGCTGCTGTGGGCGGATTAGGTATAATTTCCGCATGCAGCTTCTTGTTCTTGATTAAAATCCGATTTTTCAACTGGGCGGGCGAAGGGAGACACGGGTCGTCGGAAAAGTCCACGTCAAACATGAACCGGGAGACTAGTTTTTCCCCGAAAACGGTCTGGAAGGTCCACGCCATGCGGGCCTGTTGCTGGATGGAGCAGTGGTTCTCGATGGAGAGGATGAGCGGGTAGGACGAGGCGAGGAAGGCGCTCTTGTTTATGGCGTCGACCACCTGGCGGAACGTTATCTTGGAGGTGAACGTGTGTCCATGGTAGATCACGGGGTCACCGTCGTCCCCGTCCCAGCAGTCGAGCTCGAGACAGCGGCACCCGGCCAGGAGCACCTGGAGGAACAAAGGAAAATGGGACAATAAGAACAAAGGAAGAAGGGGACAATAAGAACAAAAGAGGTAAATCTCCTCAGCTAATAGGAAGGACCAGAGGGTGGATATATATTTACGAAAAATAGATGAAAGATTTATTGAAGATTTAGAACGAAAAAAAGCCAAAGTATTTACGAAATATGTGCGAAAGAAAGTAAGAATTTTCGCAAAATTTGTATGTGGATATGTATTCACGAAAAAAATGCAGAAATATGTATTTAATATTTAGGAAAAAACACCAAAATATTTGCAAAATATGTACGAAAAATATAACTGAATTTCCACAAAATTTGTATTAAAAAAATAAAGCTCTGGATTTTTTTTCGGTCAAATTTCTTAATTAAAAAATTTCGTTTCTCACATCGATACTAACAAAATATATGTATTGTTGAAAAAAATAGGTTATCGATTTTCGTATTTTTCAAATAATATCGGATGTATTTATGTCAAAAACCTAGAAATATTCAAAAATACTTTGAAATTTGTGTGCCTTATTCAAGCTAAGCAACACACCGATAAAGTTTGACCGTCGATCGAAATCAAATGAAAAACTTGAACACAAATACATATCCGCGCTCTGCTAACTCGGCGTGACGAACTCATTCCTACCTGACTGTACAGCTCCACGGAGGATTCTCCCTTGAGTTGGTGGCCAGTTAGGTAGGTGTTGTGGGAGGCGGCGACGTAATAGTGCGCCATCGGGTGGTCCAATTCCTCCTCCTGGGGAACAATCCGCTCACTCACGAAGGTCAAATTCTGCCCGGAAATCATATACAGAGCAAATCCCTCGAACGAGATGCACTGCTGGGCTCGTAAATTTTCGTCAGGTTCGTATTTCTAAATAGGAAGAGAAGGAAAGAAAAAAGGGGATTAAAATCCAATCAGTCGCAGGTAAGTAGGTAACCAAATTTCCATCTATTCAACGCCCCGACTGATAACTAGATTCGTCTCAATCTCAATCTTTTTAGTCAAAACAAGTCGTCCCGATTATTTTTCTCGTCTGGATCCTCTCCTCGTGTACATTATTAAGGGGTGAAAGTCACTCTATAAGAGAGTTATGTCTGCCTGTCTGTCCGATAACTCTTGGATGCAAGGACATATAGACTTGAACTTTGAACGTGGGTTCCTCATTAACGTAGGGTAAGACCTGATTAGAATATGGGCAATTTAGGTCACAAGGTCACGGTGCCAGGTCACAGGTCATGCTTTTTTTTTAAAATTAGAACGACATCATGTGAGGTCTTCAATCGATAGTATTTTTAAGTCATAAATAAGTAATTTTGACCTGCGACACCCCAGTGACCGTATGATGAGGTCATAGGTCACAAATGTCGAAAACATGTCAATTGTCACATATTTCTAACTCTCAAAAACAGTATAATATTCATTTTAACACACTGCTTTCACTCTTGGGTTCGATTTTTGCTTAATTCCCAGAAAACGGGGGAAAGAAACTCCCCTAAAATTCCAACAGCCAGTAAAAAAAAACTAAATATGCTCTAAAATAACCAGACAAGTTCAAAATTTCCTAAAAATTGTCCCTAAACTTTCCCGACAAACACGTTTGCATGTTTCCTCACACCACAAATCGAACCCACTGCTTTCACCCCTTGGTTACATACCCTATACCGCTTTATTATCGTACCATTTCGTACAAAATTAGTTATCAGAGGTAAGAAAAAGATGAACAAAAGCGAATCAGTATTCATCTCTGTCCGGACTCACTTCTATCAAGGCGACGACTTCCTTGTCAGACTTTCTCTCGCCTTGTTGACTCTTGAGAAAGTTGGTGAGGGCCAAGATTGGGATCACTTTGCTCCGAGATGTTTCCACACCCGCCCCGTTCTGCACAATGCTGGCGGAGGCGATCGCGTCATAAATGAATTTACTCGTCTCGTGCTGCTTTCCCCCAGAAGATGAGGAACTTCCTTGCTGCATATTCAATTTCGATGCTACGTTCGCCCCTGTTCCCACCACGCCGTGTTTCGGAGTGGTGCCTGCAAAACAAACAAAACTCGATTTATTAGCATAAGATTGTAGAGGAGGAGGTGGATGGATGGAGAGCGTATGGATTGGGGAGAAAATGGGGGATGCAAACCAGGTTCAACCCAGATTATTTTTGGACCAGGTTAGTTTGAACGAGCAAGATTTAGCTCGGCACTTGCAAAAAATTAGCAACTTTTGGATGCCGCAATCTCGCGACGGCGCAGATTCCGCTGGAAACCGTTTTCGAGAACTAGGGGCGCCCAAAAGTTGCTGAATTTTAAAAGAGAAAAATTTAATTTTTGTGCATATTTTGACTTTTCCTGATCAAATTTGTGTTTGAAAGGTGGGGATTTTTTATGCAGAAATGATCTACTCAGAATGGGGACGCAAACAATGTTCAACCCAGATTATTTTTTGACCAGGTTAGTTTGAAAAAGCTACTTTTTGGAAACGACATTTAACATTGCAAAAACATTTTGGGCGCCGCAAGATCGCGAAAACACTTAATTTTCTAGCTGAATCTGTGCCTTGCGGCGCCAATGGTGCGTTCTCGCGAACTTACGGCGCCAAGAACTTGCTAAATTTATTTAAAATACCATATTAAATCTTATTTCTAACGAGCTCCTCTTTCAAACTAATCTGGTCTCGAAATAATATGAGTTGAACACGGTTTGCGACCCCATTATGTGTGTATCTACTCCCAGAGACTGGTCAATCTCGGATTAAGGATTGGGGATTGAGATTGGGATTGGGGATTAATTAATCCTTAATCTCAATCCTTAATCCCGAGTTTTTGAATTTTAATCCTTAATCCCTAATCCCCAATCCAAATCTGTCAACTTTAATCCAAAAGTGGGATTAAAATGGGATTAAAGTGGGATTAAATTTGCATTCACTAAAAACTCAAAAAGCAAACTTCTCTTGAGATCGCTCCCCTTTCGAAAATTGATTGCATTTCGTTCATTTTTATCAAACATTTAAAAATACTCCAAAATATTTTGCAAAACTACTCGTATCGTGGTATCTTCAATGTGCAATGTTCAAATTTTGTGTGAGCTTATAAAGAAATGTGAGTACTCTGACCAAACTATGATCGATGCTGTTCGTTAAAATAGTACCAAGAATAAAATTAGAATTCTTCCCCTATATAATTCTTAGCACAAAAAATATTTAATTATGACTTAGAAATTGTATTCGTAAGCCATCTAATTTTGTATGCAAAATGATCAAAATATTCCATTTTCAGAAGTTCAGAGATTTGTTTAATTAATTTAAAAATCTGGCATAATAATGCAAACAATTAATCCACGACTATGTAAATTAATTTCCAAACCAGGTAAACCCTAAATTTAATCCCGTGTTAATCCCAATCCCAGATTAAATTTAATCCCGTGTCAATCCTAATCCAAGATTAAATTCAATCCCTAATCCCAATCCTTAATCCCAAAATTTGGAAAATTAATCCTTAATCCCCAATCTCAATCCCAAGATTTTAAATTTAATCCTCAATCTCAATCCTTAATCCCAATATCTTTAATCCGCCAGTCTCTGTCTACTCCGAGATCTTGGTCTGGTCCATAATGAATAAATAAGTAAACCGACCTGAAGTAGACGAGGAGTGACTCCGTTCCGGAGATTCGGGTTGAGAAGCGTCCTGAACCCCGTCATTTCCTCCCTTTTGCGGAGTGGCGATCGAGTCAAACAAGTCACGCAGGTCTTTTCGTGACCTTAAACTGATAAACCAATTACACCTTTAATTAATTACACCCTTAATTAATTAATTAATTAAGCAATTAATTAGCTCACCTAAATGCTTGGTAAAGTTGGACAAAATTTTGAAATATGAGTCGCGTCTCGTGCGTGAGGGCGGAGGAGCGCGAATGTTGAAACGTCGCGCCATCCACGGACGTGGCGGGCATCATGGCGGCGGCGCTCTTAATGCGGACGAGCGACTGTTGATGGGATGGGGTTGAGGTGGAGTCGCTCCCTTTCACGGAGGGGCTGGGGGGACGATAATCCCCCCCGCCACCGGTCGATCCGTGGTCGCCACTTCCGCGGATGAAGGATTCCTGAAATTTGGGTAGAAAAATATGAGTCTTATTTCACATCGCAATTTTTTGCAAAATTGCGAAGCTCTAAAAATGAGTGTGGTGAGGGGATAACCTCGCAAATGAAGCAAATCTACTGCTAAAAACACCTATTTTGATGTGATTTCTATGAATTTCTATTACTTCTCTCGCTGGTTGAGGATGAGATTACGAAATAATTTTGCGAAGTAAAAATATGCCCAATTTCTGGGTAAGTTTGCGCAAAAGATTGTGTGGGTTTTTAGCTAAAGTTTTGCAAATGATGTTGCCCTCTATGCTTAAATTGCAAGGTATGCGAAAGTTGATGGGATAACTTCGCAAATCTCCCAAAGCTACTGCTAAAAACACATATTTTGATCTTGTTTCCATGAATTTCTGCAATTTTTCTTGCTGATAATGGTGAGGATGGATTTGCGAAATAATTTTAAACATGCTGGGTAAGTTTGCAAACAGAATCACATAGTTTTCTACCAATTTTTTTTGCAAAATCTCACAAATTTCGCAAGATATTTTTCTATGCTCAACTTGCAAGATATGCAAATTTTTGCCACAAAACTTTAATCACCTTAATCATATGAATATTCGCGAGAGATCTTTTCTTCCTAAATTTTGCGGAGGCCGTCCTCCTAAACGGGGGCGTGTCTGGGGTCACTCCTTGCGGAACGGTGGATGACCAACGTCTCCCACCAAACACCTAGCGAAAAAAAAGAAATCCTAATTTTTAAAATCCTAATTTCATTTTTAATTTCTTTAAATCCATATATTTTTTATTCATAATTTCATTTTTCATATATTTTTTTCTGTTACCCTAATCGCATCGGCCATGGTGGGCGCTAAACATTTCCCTTCTTCATAAAACAACTGTAAATATTGTTCCTTGAGCCAGAACAGGCGTCGATCAGGTTTTCCCAAGACACGACGAAGCGCTTTCACCACGGATCTTAGGCCTGCATGGAACACGAAAAAATGCATTATTCCATTATTAATTTCCTCCAAATTAGCGAGAACAATTAGAAGAAGGAGAGGAGAAAAAAAGGGAGAAAAAAAGAATAACCCACCATTCAACCAAATTGAAGCAAGGCGTGGCGGAAAGACAAAGAAGGTTGATCGATTATCACACAATAGAATTCCAAACACGAGGGAAACACACGTCTCAGAAATTGCCCAGTGTTCAATTCCATACCTGAAAAAGAAAGAAAAGGGGAAAAAATAAATTAGTCGTTAGTGGAGAAGAGCAGAGGTGACCCGGTACCCTGAAACCATGTACTGACCGGATGGTACCCGGTTTTTAAAAGTGATGTGATCAATACAGCAAATTGAAGGGATTAATGAGTAGATTATTTCTTTGTAAGAAATTTTTCAACTTTTATGCTCAGAATTTTTTTCAGGAAAAATAAAAAAAAGTATGGTCTCAAAACTTGAAAAAAATAATGCGAATGCGATATTTAAGCATATTTTGAATTTTCCTGAAAAATTTTGTAGGTGAACGTTGAGTAGATCATTTCTATATACAAATTATGGACTTTCACTCAAAAATTTTCAGGAAAAATCTAAATATTCGCAAAAATCGCAGCTTTTCTCACTTTTCGTGCATATTTTGATTTTTCCTAAAAAAAATTTGGCTTTGAAAGTAGAGAATTTTGTATGTATAAATAATATATTTAGACTTTATATACCAAATTGAAGGTATTAATGAATGGATCATTTCTGATAAAAAAATTCCCAACTTTCAAACTCAAAATTTTTCAGGAAAATTCAAAATATGCACAAAAATCGCATTTTCTCTCTCACTTTCTCCCCATATTTTGATTTTTGCTGAAAAATTTTGAATGTGAAAGTGTGGAATTTTGTATATAAAAATGACCTACTCATTAATACTCTCAATTTAATGTAAGGGTCTTTCACTTGTAAAAAACCGGGATTTAGGATACTACCCGGTAGGTACAGGTAAGTGCAGGTAACGGTACACCTCTGCCAGAACAATCTGATAAGCAAAAAAAAACACAATCGCGTCCATCAACCCACCTTTTCATGGTGGGCAACATGTCGACATCTTTACTCCCACTTTCCACCTCTTTAATCCCGATTAAATCGATGTAGCCCTCTTCCAGCGTGTTCATGGAGATGTCTGGGAGGCCCTGGCAGGACGGCGGGGCATTCGGCCCCGCCACATTCGTCGCCGTCCCGTAACACCCCACCTTCAACATCATCCCCGCCGAAATCGGGATCAGCTCGGGGTCCACGGTGAGGAGAAAGTCGGGCTGGGCGTGGGAAAATCGGAGCGAGCTCCAGACCGGTTTACTCCACGTTAAGGTGCCACAGGACCGTTCCAAGCGGACGTAGACGAAGGAGGCTCGACCATCACAGTCGACGTGGAGGGCGGTACTCTGCGGAAAAAAGGAGGGGGGGAATTGTCAGTTTTAGGGTTTTAAAAAGCTTGCTCGCACTAGGGCGTCCAAAATCGGAAGATTTTTGAAAAATCGGGTTTTCGATTATTCCGGTTTTTCAAATTTTGGTAAAACCAAATTTTAAGAAACCGGTTTTCGATTTTGTGCAAAACTCGTGTTTAACATTGGTTATTGGTAAAACCGGTTTTAGATTATTCAGGTTTTTTTCAACTTTTGTTAAAACCAGTGTCCAATTAATCGGAATTTGGAAAATTGTAGGAAACTAGTTTTCGATTCTGTGCAAAACTAGTGTTTAAAATTGGTTTTAGTGCAAATTTTAAAAAATTGCAAATATAATGACCAAAAATTTAATACAAAATTAAAATTAAAATTAAATTGCGAATTAAGTTTTTCAGAACAATTGACTCAACAAGTATCCATGAAATATTAGATCCAAACAAGTTTGTTTTATCTAAATCCGAAAACTGGTTTCGACTGTGTAAAAATTCCGTGTCAAATACGGGTTAAAACCGATTTTTGACAGTGGTTAAAAACCCTCCTCGTACTCACCCCATGATGCAAAACTTGCAAGTTGTGCTGGTCAATATTGATTTTGTCCCCGGTCAAGGGGATGAAGGAAATGCCCGGGTCGTGGCTGATTGCCTGGACCGGGTTGTAGTTCGCGTTGCCCCCGCCCCCACTCCGAGTGTCGATCATCGTCTCCAGATTCCCGTACAAGTCGTCCTCGCTGTCTTGCGAGTCTTCATCGTCTGGAAATCCGGACCGCTCAATGCTCGACGTGTGGATGCTAATGAGGGAAAATTAATTAGTTAGTAAGGAGACAGGCCATCATGGAGACCAATGGCCGCGGAAGGGTATGGGGACAGAGGGGGATAATGTCCCCAGGGTTGTTCGATGTCGGCATCATCTCCCCATCTTATATAAACCCCTCACTCCCCTATACTATAATGCCCCCAGATGTCCCTACGGTTTCCGCGGCCACTGTTTTTCATAATTTCATAAATCTGCGGTTGTTAAAAGTGGCCGCGGAAGCTTAAGGGGACAGAGGGACATTGTCCCCACGGTTGTTCAATGTCCGCATCATCATCCCATCTTACATAAACCCGGACCTCCCCCTATTCTAAAATATTAATGTCCCCCGATGTCCCCACGGCTTGCGCGGCCACTTATAAAAACCGCATATTTATGAAAACACTGGCCGCGGAAGCCGTAGAGACAGAGGGGCAATGTTCCCTGGGTTATTTGATGTTCCTATGTCGTATTCTCGTATTAACCCGTCCCTCCCCTCCATCCTACAATATTAATGTCCCCCGACGTCCTCCCAACCTCCGCGGCCACTGTAACCACACACGAAGTTTTACCCACCTGAGGCGATCCGTGTTAAGAAAAGCAGCCTTTTGCAGCCTTTTAGCATGATGTTGATGAACCACGACGATTTTCTCCAGGATGGCCTGCACCTTGCGGAGCTTGTTCATATTCAGCAATCCGCCGGAACCGATTCTCGTGAAGTATTCGTCTTCCCCTTCGGGATCCAGTAAACTCTGCAAAAACACACGTTATGTTATCAAAATAGATAATATGTAATTAGTTTCTTTCTTGACGGTGAGACATGTTCTTGTTCCGTGTTCTCTCTCTCAGATAAAAGAAGGTAGGAAAGGGTGAAAGCAAATTATGCAAACCAGTCCCCAGAGGAAAGATGGGCATTGTGTGGTACGAGCATTGTATTCTCGTCGCTTTCTCTCTCTCACACACACACACTCTTTAATAAGACGAAGGTGGATTTGAGTGAGACGTACGTACTTTTTCTCATCTCATCTTTATAGAGTTGTACGTGTGACGGTGTTCAGGGCATTAATGGCATGCCCGATTTCCGTGCCGTTTAGATTTTCATATTGAATATTAATTTCATAGTAAATGTATGATGCGGTGCCCAAAATTCATGAAATTTCAGAAATTTAATAGAGTTGTACGAATGAACTTGGTCAGGGCGTTAATGGCATGCCTGATTTGCGTCCTATTTATTTAAATTTAAATATGGAATAAGATAAATTTCATAGTAAATGTACGGTGCCAAAATTCATGAAATTTCAGAAATTTACTTTCATATTCATGGCATTTATGACATACAACTGTATGACCTGCGTGCCCAATATTCATGAAAGTTCGAGCATTTACTTTCATCTTTGTGGCATTTCGGGCACAGAAACTGCATGCCCTGTTTGCCCCGTGTGCCAAAAATTCAAGGAATTTCGAGCATTTATTTGCATGCCAATGGCGTTTATGACACACAATTGCATGTCCCTCACTCAAATTTGAACCCCGATAAGCCCAATCTTATCATAAATACACCCCAAAAATGCCACACCTTTTCATTTCCCTCCACACATCGTACAACTCTACAACCCATTTTCTCCCCTCTTTTGTTCCTACCTGCAACTGTTGCTGCTCCGATCCGGTCGAGACCACGACGAGGGACGGGGTTTGCAGCACGTTTCTTAATTCTCTGATATAAGCCCCGAAAAACGGGACGACCAGACATGTCGGGATTTTTAAGGCTCTCGTCAATCCTGCCTCGTACTCCGGGGCGCTCCATATTGTCCTCCGTTCTTTTGTGCTCGTCTCACCCTCCCCAGAACCACCTCCACCGACTTCTATACTTTCTCCGAGCAAGGCTTTCGACAACATTTCCAACGTCGCGATATCCTCTTTTTCATTTAACGAGAGCCAGAACGGCTTTAGTTTGGAAGATCTGAAAGGACAAAAAGAAAGATGAAAATAATAATAATAATTTGAAAAAAAGGAGACAAATCAGAGAGAGAGAGCAAATCTCGGGAGTAATAATTCTTCTTCTCCGCGTCAGAAAGTAAAAAAAAACAAATTGAAAGTCATGATTTCCAGGAGGTATGGAAAAATTGGATTATTCTGGAAAAATTGAGGTTTTAATATATTTTGTTTTCTTGGCTTCTTCTTCTCTGAGTCGTCGTCGCCTCATCGTTGGCGTGGCCGTCTCATCTTTGTCGTCGTCGTCTCATTTTGGTCGCCAACATGTAATTCTTGTCGTCGTCGTCTCATCTTCGTCGTTGTTGTCTCATTTTTGTCGTCGTCGTCGTCGTCGCCTTATTTTTGTCGTTATCGTCTCATCTTCGTCGCCATCGTCGTCTTAGCGCAATTGGTGTGTTGTTCCCGTCCAGAACACATTTAATTTTCATGGTTTTTTTCTCCTTCTCCTCGTCGTTATCGTTTTCGCCATGGTCCTTATCGAAGAGTGCGATTGGTGTATGGTTGTCGTCCAGCAGAGGAATAGAGGCAAGTAGAGGCAAGTAGTTTCCGTCGGCCTACAACAAGCTTTAACGGCTGGAGGCCGACAGAAACCCCTGTCCCTACTTCCTCTGTTCTAATTCGCACCACGCCACCACGCCACGCCGTCGTCTTGATCCTCTCTCTTCTTTCTCTAACAACAACAGCGACGGGGGGCTTAGCGTCACCAGACGAGCCACGCCACCACCACGTAGATGAGCATCAAGGTAAACCAAACCACACAGTCTTCATGCAAATTCGATCCAATCCAGGCAAAAATAATGAGTTTTCCATCCACCACCACGATATCCCCAAGATGACGAGGAACACGTTCCGTCCTCTAACTCTCCTTAGGGGCCGGGCATAAATTACGTAGGGCAAAAAAAGCGATTTTGTAGACCCTTTTTCCCTTTAACCTCTTGGCTACCAAAGTACACACTATCATTTTCCGATGAGGACGAAATACACAAATGTGTATACTGCATAAATTAAGTTAATATCAAAATTTCTAAAAAACAAGAATAATTCTTTGGTATTTTGTACAAAATGCAATGGTAAAAGTGATTTTTTTCGATATTTTTCTCCCGAAATTTGGGAATTTTCCCTATACCGATCAATGTTAAAAAGTGGATTTTTCATATTTTTCGTATAAAAAACTTAGAAATTGAAACCTTTTTGAAATTTTAATTGGTTGTGATCAGGTGTAATTAAGAAATTAATATCGTACTGATGAGAAATTTTATTTAAGAAATAGTAGTACGAAAGAGGTTAACGTGTGTAACATAGGCACGATATTTTTGGAGCGTTAGACCTTCCCCCCCCCCTTGCCCCCTTTCGCGTTACGTAATTTATGGCCGGCCCCTCACATAATGTTTTTCGCCTTTGGCAAAGAAAACCTCAAGAAGAAGAAGATGGTGTCATGTATTTTCTTACTTTAAGCCAGCCACGATCTCGACGGCACTCCCGAAGGCGCCCAGGTTCCAGGCAGACTTGGCCACACGGAGCAAGCAGGACAGGACGGCTTTCCGCTCCTCGTGCGTCGGTGGGGAGACCAACAGGTGGGTTACCCACGAGCTTATCTGTTCAGACACACATTTTTACCATGTACATACGTGACTAGATTGATCAGTGGCCGTGGAAGGGGTGGGGACATTAAAATTGTAGGGTAGGGGAGGGGTAAGGGAGGGGTTTAAGATGGGGAGATGACGATGGGGACATGGAATAAAAGTGGGGAAATTTGAGGATATTAAATAATGTTGGGACAAATCTGGGGACAATAAAAAAAATTTGGGGACATCTGGGGACATTAAATTTAAATAACTGTGGGGGACATCTGCGGACATTAAAGAATTGTGAGGACATCTGGGGACCTTAAGTACTGTGGGGACATCTGGGGATATCAAATAATCGTGGGGACATCAAATAACTGTGGGGACATCTGGGGACGATTGTAGGATAGGGGACAAGGGACAGGTTTATATAAGATGGGGAGATGATGTCTCCATCAAACAACCCTGGAGACATTGCCCCTCTGTCCCCTCACCCTTCCGCGGCCATTGTACTTGAAAATTAAAAACATGCCCACCTCTGTGAATCGATCGACCAAGCTATTAATTCCGGGATGACTGCCTGCCTGTTGGTCAGCCGCAGGACCACCAGTTGTCCCCCCTCCGCCTCCTCCTCCGCCGGCGACCACTTCGTCCAAGTCGAGCGTGACATGGCGTAAATACTCCAGCGGGGCAACCTGTAAGAATCAATCGGGATCAGTCTCACATCACTTTCTTCTTCCTGAGACATATTTTTTCTCTCCACGGACAACTGAACTCTGCTCGGTTCAGTTCCGTTTCATTGCCCGCAAAAAAAGGTGGTATCACCCGGGTAAAAAAAAATATATATACAACCCGGATTTTATACGGGATACATGAAGCGCAGAACTGTGTGGGGACATCGGGGACTAGATTTTCCTTAAAGAAATGTAAGATTTTATCATCCCACGTGCTCGTTAGACGTCGGTGAAATAGAACTTTTTAAGATTTTTGGTTAAAAACCAACCAAAAACTTGGGATTATTTCAATCCCAAAATTAATTTGGATTACTTATACCTTAAAGTTTTTATGGAAATTTTATATTTTATCAATATTTCGAATCTTATCTTATTATTTTTTAACCAATAAAAATCTCACAAGTACGATTTCCCTAACAAATTTGGGTACGAAAGCCCAACGTGCGTCCCCCCATAAACCAGTGGCCGCGGAAGGGGGGGGGACCTTAACATTGTGGGATTGGACTTATTAACATGGATAACATAAATTTCTGGGGGGATAATGTCCCCCTGCTTCCCACACACCATCGTTTTCCCTACAAATCTCTTAAAAAATTGTCCCCACACGGTTCCTCCGTCCCTTAGAAAAAGCCCTTTCTTGTTCTTACCTGACAGAAAAGGACACTTTCCGTTTCAGCCAATGCTAGCGCAACTTCTTCCGGGAAATGAAGGACTTTTTCGAGTTCTTCAAGTTCAGGGCTTAAGTTGACGTATGCTAGCTTCCATTGTTTCTTTGAAGCTTCTGGAAATAAAAAAAGAAGACAGTTTTTTTTCATCATTGAGTTTTGAGGGTAAACCTTTTAGTTGGAAAACTTTGGAAGATTCTCTTTGATCTTTTTTTCTCTACAGTTTTTATCCCTTTAGGGGAAAATAAAATGAGAGAGGAGGAGGTTCGATCGTGGGGAAAATGAGACGAGTGATGGACCATAGATTTAGATAGAATAGATAGTAAATCTCCCAGGTGTTTGAAGTGGAACTAAACCCTGCCTGTGTCTACTAACTAAGATTTTTAAGGGTCTATTGGATGCGGGTTTTGAAGTTGATTTTTCTTGTCTCAACTTTCCCGTCTTCCATGTATTAAAATGATGAGAGGGCGCCGTATTTCGATCGCGGGGAAAGTGAGACGATTGAGGTACCACAGATTAGGTAGTAAATTTCGCATGGTAAAAAGTCGCCAATGGTTTTCTAAGTGTAACTAAACCCTGTCTTTGTAGCTAACTATGATTTTTAAGGGTCTATTACATGCGGGTTTTGAATTTGAATTTTTTATCTCAACTTTCCCTTCTTGCATAATTACAAAATTTTCTTCAAAATATGTAAATGAGGTGACACGCACGCATAATTGGACATTACCTGCATCGAGCGGCAGTGATTTTCTGGGGAGTGTGAATTCCTGCAGGAAGCTAGTGTCCATTTCTCTCAGGAGTGCCCATAGAGCTCTCCCCGCTTCACGAAGCCCACCCACCGTTCCCAAGTGACCACAAGACACCCCGCATGAAGACGTACTTCCCAACGGCGGCACCAGCAGCGACCACGTCACCTGAAACAAATCCGTTAATTTAGTCACTAAATCCAAGACAATGAAGTCCTCCCAGCGGATGTTCTCATATTTTTTTGAGCAAATTATTACGGTCCGCACGTAACGTATCTTCATCCAGGGAACATTCTCACGTGGTTTTTACTTGCTTCCCTTAAGTGAGACATGGGAGGCCATAGGTTCATGGCCTCCCACGTCTCATCTTATGGGCAATAAAAAAACCGACCGTAAATTTATTGGCTGGATGGGGATACATTACGTGCGTACGGTAATAGTGTAAATCGATGACAAATTTAATTAATATGCAATTTTGCGAAAAACACGATCCCCGAATGAGCCGAGGCAGCTGCATCCGAAGAGGAGAAAGCGCGCAGTAAAGTGGACAAATTTTACTCAGCGTTTTCTCCTCATTGGATGCAAATATCTCGGCCAAACGTGCCCATTGGGAATTTGTCATCGATTGACACTAATTTTCCCAAAATCAGAAAGCATCATCTGAGAGAGCTCCCTTGTTAGTTGAATTTTAGATAACTAACTACTGTTCGTCCATTATAATTAGTCTGATAATTTTTCTGAGAAGATAGTTATTGGCCATAGATTCAATTTAATATTAGTTAAATACCTAATTTCGTCACTGGCAACTATAGCGAAATTGTCTTAAAATTTCGAAACTGTTGACAACCAAACAACTCTTTTACCTACCTGCCAAGTAACCTTTCAGAATTTTTCGCGACTAATCATACTAAATCATAAATACATAAATCCGTAGGTAAATTCATAATATTTCGGCCTCACCTTAAGATCCCATCGCGTACCACGGAACTCTAAAATCAATCGGTCATGATTTCTCCCTCCGCCAGCTCTCCACTAGAAAAAGAGAGAAAAACAAAACAAAAGTTTGTCAAAGAAGTGTCAAAATCATCACTTTTCTTCTTTTCTCTGACTTATGTATCAGCAAAAGTGGAAAGAACAAAACAAAAGAAAGAAAGAACTGACTAAATAAAATATATGTCAATCTGCATGAACGTGTCAACCGAGTTGTCACTGACAGAAGAAAACGGTCGGGAAACAAATAAATAAATAAGTTAAAAAAAAATGCGACGATTTCCAAAATCCAGAACAAATCCGGGACAGGATGAAAAGTTTGGGGGAAAGTTTTTATCATGGGATATGCACAAGTTAGAAGGGAGGTTTCCCAGCGGATGGGATCCGATTTTGGGTAAAATAGTCTGAATCGATGGCAAATTTAGTTAAGATGAAATTTAGAAAAGACACGATCTCCCAATGGGCACATTTGGCTGAGATATTTGCATCCGAAGAGGAGAAAACGTGTGGGAAATTTGAAAAGTGTAAAATTTGTCGACTTTTTAGGCGCGTTTTCTCCTCTTTGTATGCAAAATATCTTGAGCAAACGTGCCCATTGGGAGATCGTGCCTTTCCAAAATTTCATATCAATAAAATTTATGATAGACCGAGACTATGGTTCATCTGAAAAAAATGTAGCCCTAGAAATTCTAAAAGGTTATCTGGCAGAATTTGTTTATTTTCATTATTTTATCCTTTGTAGAAATTTATTTCTGTTCCAGAATTCAAAGATATTGTAAGAAATTGAATTTCCCACACAAATAAATTTATGCAAAGGATAAATAAACGAATTCCGCCAGATAACCTTTTAGAATTTCAACGCCCACATTTTTATCAGATGAACCATAGTTTACCCAAAATCGGATTGCACCCGATGGGAGACCTCCCTTCTGAGTCTGCTTATAACTATATCCACTTACCTGGATAAGATCCGTAGTCGCCTGCGATCTGGCCAATACTTTGGTTCGACAATCCAATAAAATGATTTTCTCCGGTCCAATACCGAGTAATCGGGTGGCCTAAAAATAAAATAAAACAGGACACGAAATGATTTCCGATTCTTCTCTTGATCACGACTAGCCCGTCCTCGAAAAAGGACTCTGTTCTCATGGAATTTGGTGAGCGACTGAGTGAGCTGAGCCACTGAGTGAATCACAGTCAGACTTTGTTGTGTGAGATTCAGTGGCCGCGGAAGGTTGAGGGGACACCGGGGGACAATGCCTCCACGGTTGTTCGATGTTCGCATCATCTTATACAAACCTGTGTTGTACGTATTACTACTCAGAAAAGTAGTCAACTACTATAATTTGCATATAGTTTTCAACTATATCCTACTTTTTAACTAGTAACTACTTTTGCACTATTTTTTAACTACTTTTTAACTACTGTCAACTACACCTTGACGTCCCCCTTCCATCCTACAATGTTAAGGTACGTATAACTACTCAGAAAATCAGTTCAACTACACAGAAAAGTAGTTAAACTACAACTATTTTAATTTGCATATAGTTTTCAACTACATTTTCAACTATGTCCTACTTATTGAAACTAGTAACCCCTTTGTAACTACTTACGCACTATTTTTTGTACCTACTTTCAAAAACTATTTTTGTACTATTATTTGACTACTTTCAACTGCTTTTTAACTACTGTCAACTACACGTTGACGTCCCTCCCCTCTATCCTATAGCGTCCCCCTCTGTCCCCTCACACCCTTCCGCGGCCACTGGTTCTCTGTGCGAGAGATATGGATTTCACTGGCTGGAGAGTTTACTTTAGAGAGATAACAACCCCCCCTTGTCGCTTGTCATCTATTTATATGTACCAACAAACAAACACTAATCCTCCAAATAATTGTGCTTCGTACGATAAACCACCTTCACCGGCCGAATAAATAATCTATTCAGGCAAATCCAACTCCTGTCCTGTCCTCCGTGTGGTCTGTGCCTCTCACCAACTTTTCCGATGAAATGAGACTAAAACTAAACTAAAATAACCAAACCAGGAAAGAGGCGCAGGAAAGCGCAAGTTGGACATAAATTGAATTATGCAATCAATACGGATGTCCATATGTACTTATTTGCATAAATTGAACTGGTCGATCTCCCCGACACGGAGGAAGAAAGAAGGAAATATATAAATATAAAGTAGCAAATGAAACGTAACAATGAGGTGAAACAGGAATAAATTAGGTTCCTAAAACGGGGGAGTGGGCCCGATTTACCCTTAAAAAATTACCCCCGGGGTAATATATATGCTGCAGAAAACATATCTTAATTATCTCGATGCATTATCTCGCTGACAGACAAATGGACGGACGGACAGACAGACAGATAAAGTGTTTGGAAAGTTTGACCCTAAACTGTAGCTAACAAAATGTAACATAGGGTGAAATAAGTAATTCCCCCAAACATTGGGGGAACCACACCCCCAGATGACCTCGAGGGAGGGGTGTTCGATTGACCCCAAAATTTGGTCGGATCCTCCCCCTGGGGTCATATATATGATAACTCGCTTATCTCGCTCCATTATCCTCCTGACAGACAAACACGCAGACAGACAGACAAACACGCAGACAGACAGACAACCCCTTCCCATAAAAGGGTTTCTTCCCCCTTAAAAAAAATATTACCTTTTTCTTTGTTTTTCCACGTAAAAGCTCCTTCACGACGACGAGGCGACAGCCATACGCTGGAAGTCGTCGACACGTTTGGACATACAATTTCTGCAGCTGCGTGGCCGACTCGTAGACCGACGTGTGAAATAATTTCCTCTTTTGCTCCTGCGGGAATTCAAAATTTTATTATTATTATTTTATTATTAAATATTAAATATTAGCATGAAATGAAAGGCAATGTGAAATGTGAAATCGGTGGTCGCATTCAGACATAAATTTCACTGCGGCTTGAATCAAATTCAATTTATTTTCAATCCAATTTTCAACAAGAGCTCAACAAGGTGCCGAGAAATTAAGTGGATCGAGGCAGCCGAGGGAGAGAGTGGAATTGGAAAGGAATTTTCTGTTTCACTATTCAAATCAGAAATCATATGCCTGCCTTGTTTGTTTGCACTAATTTTGGCCGCGTCATCATCAAATATTAGGAAAGTCAGGGGCCGCGGAAGGAAGGGTGAGGGGACAGAGGGGGATATTGACATGGTAGGATAAGAGGCCAGTTTTGTATAAGATGAGGAGATGATGCGGACATCGAACAACCGTGGGGGCATTGTCCCCTCAATATTCCGCGGCCAGTGAAAGTCTAAGCGAAAACCCGTTGTGTATTTGTTCAGTGGCTGCGGAAGCTGTGGGGACATTTGGGGACAGTAAAATGATAGGATAGGGGAGAGATGGGTTTGTGAAAGTTGGGGAGATGATAGGGACATCGAACAATTGTGGGGATATTGTCCCCACCCTAGCTTCCGCGGCGACTGTATTTTCCATAATGAGAATGTATACAGATCCTGGCGGAAAATCAGACCACTGCAAATTCAATCCGCCCCACGCCTTATCATATTTTCAAAGGAAATGAAATTAGACCGAGTTCCAGTAATGTAATAATGCAAGGTTTGCCAGAATGAAATCATATCGAGTGGAGTTGTACGAGGGGAATTTTGGCCATGTCCGCCACATTTATGGGAAGATTGGTCTGTGCTTATCCGCGATAAGTTTACATACAATATGCTAAATGTCACGCAGTGTTTCAAGAAATAACGGGAAGAAGAAAGTGTTTTTTTTGCCACAGGGAAATATTTTCACCTGCAAGAAATTTCAGCGGTGGACAAAATGCTTTGTTAAAATTTACTATTTTGAGTTCAGTTCTTCCCAGGGTTTGGATTTCCAGGGGTGTTACACCCACAAAAAGACGAAAATCTACACAGCAGTCACACGAAAATATAGGTTTTCTGAATAAATGTCCCCCTTCCCCCCGGACATCACCTCTACATAAGTACATCCAACTCTTCCCCTCAAACCCCGTCATGAAACCATATTTTTTCCATTAACACAGACTTTAAAACGAAAAAATATAGATCCCACTCCTAAAATTTCCTTTACCAAAAATCCTGGGGAAACAAGGCACCCCACAAAAAATTCCCCCTTCCCTTCCCCCTGGACACCACCTCTACATACATCCAACTCTTCCCCTAAAATCCCATCACCAAACCATACTTCTTTTCCCATTTAAACATCATTTACACCGATTTAAAGCGATCTTTCTATCCCACTCCTGCAACTTATTTGCCAACTTCGTCAGAGAAAGCGGACGACTGACTAAAGAAAGAACGACCCGACTTGATTAACAGTCCGACAGTCAGTCAGTCAGTACATAAAATCTCTCATCATCGTCATCATCGTCATCATCTCATGATGAAGCCGCTGATGGAAAATGGATGGATGACAGAGTCGAGATGCAGATTGTATCCGCTCTGTTGGAGTCCTTCCATCAAAATCTCTGTCGAAAATCTACGAAACAATTAATATCAATATTAAGGAAATATTAGACCCGTTCAAACGCAGAGAGAGAGAGAGAGAGAGAGGAATGAGATATTGTTTTGAGGTAAATAGACAGCCAGTGAGCGAGGCCGTTATTTCGTGTGGCGTTTGTGTCCCTGCAGATCAAACGGATGGAACAAAGAGCACTTCAAAGAAAGAGATGTGTGTGTGACGAGATACAGTTCACACGCAGAGGAGGCTGCTGCTCCTGGTATAAGCTGGACCAGTGGCCGCGGAAGGGGGGCAGTGTCCCCACGGTGGTTGGATGTCGCTAGCATCTTGTACAAATCAGTGGTGTATGTATAACTAATCAGAAAAGTGGTTAAACTACATGTACAACTACTTTGAATTCTAACTATATTTTCAACTACTTCTTACTAGTAACTACTTTGGAACTATTTTCAACTACTTTTGAACTACTTTCTAACTACTGTTAACTACCTGATGTGAGATTCATCTTTCTTTCTTCTACACTAGGAAGGAGATATGCATAAAATGTAGAAAAAGTTGTTACAAAGCAGTTGAAACTAGTTAAAAAGTGTAGTTGGTCAACTCTACTCGAGAAAGTAGTTGAATTATTCTCTAAAAGTAGTCGAATTTACACTCAACTACAACTATTTGTTACAAAAAATTATACTTAACTAACAGAAAGTTATAAAATGTAGTTAATTACTACAATTCTGATATAAACCCTCCCCTATCCCCCAATGCTAATGTCCCCCCATGTCCCCACACGCCTTCCACGGTCCCTGCCTATCAATAAATATATCTCGACAGAACCATCACCAGTGCAAACACAACAGCTTTCACATGCATCATAATGAGAGAAAGGAAATCTCGGCATGCTTTCTCTTTGCGTGTCGTCGTGTCGACTTGTACATATTTTCCTTGATGGGATTTCTCACAATCAGTCCTCGCTCGCTCTCATCAACTACCAGCCACCAGCCAACGTCATGAGAGAGGAACGTCTTTCTTTATGGGAGGAAATGAGTGTCTAGATATCATCATCCTCGTCACGGGGACTTCTCGTGCCGTCGAGAGCCACACACGAGGCGCAGGAGAAAGCTGGCTGGGTATTTATCCATTTCGCCCAGAATCTCTCATGTTTGACAACTTGATAAGCTCTCCGCAGCATGAGGTTTCTCTCTCTCTTTCTGGGAAAAGTGATTGCGGAATGGGAATCTACTCATCAAGAGAGAGGAGAAAGCTAGGCATCATCATGAAGAGAGACAGGGGCGAGTTAGGATTAGGTACTTATTTTGTATGAGGAGAATATAAGCATAACTGATCTGGCTGGATTGTTTCGGGTGAAAGTAAGAGACAATTTGGAGGAGATAAGGGGGAGAAAGTGGTTTTTTGTGTAGGGAAATATTTTAACCTGGGAGAAATGCAAGGTGGGAGAAAATGCATTGTTTCTGGTGAAAGTAAGACCATTTTGAAGAGATAAGGGGGAGAAGAAAGTGGTTTTTTGTGTAGGGAAATATTTTAACCTGGGAGAAATGCAAGGTGGGAGAAAATGCATTGTTTCTGGTGAAAGTAAGACCATTTTGAAGAGATAAGGGGGAGAAGAAAGTGGTTTTTTGCGGGGGAATATTGCGACTTGGGAGAAATTAATGCAAGGCGGGAGAAAGTAAGTGACAATTTGGAGGAGATAAGGGGAATAAAGTGGTTTTTTTGAATATATTCACCTGGGAGAAATGAATGCAAGGTGGGAGAAAGTAAGGCTCACCGTACGGTAAATAGTTCGTACGGTGATTGGCTAGATGGTGCATATGCATTTCATGCACTTTCTCCCACTTTGCACCTCGCATTTTGCCCGTTGCTTGTTTTCCAGTGCAAGAAATGGAGCAAACCCACAAGAAGCGAAAGACTATACTTTGTCCTGAGATTTAGATGGATTGCGTGGTGCCTGACATTACCTTATCATCATTACTACTACTACTTATCTATCTATCTGTCTAACATTGTGCCTACTTTCTCCCCCTCCCAAAAAACTGTTGCTTCTCTTCCCTCAAGTAGAAGAGAAGTGGAGAATTCAATCGAAACCAATCCAATAATACGGAGAAGAAGAAGAAGACGAATTTTCTTATTCGTAAAATGAGTACTTATCAAGTAGGAAACCGTATGCACGAGACAAGCAATAACCGACTTAAAGTAAAAGCTACTTTACGTGCTCAATTTCACGTCAAATCAATTTCTTCTCCTCTCCTCCTTTGAGTTTATTCTAGGCGAAAAAAAGTCTCTCTTTTTCTCAATGGCCGCAGAAGGGTGAGGGGACAGAGGGGGACAATATCCCCACAGTTATACGATGTCCGCATCATCCCCCCATCTTATACAAATCCGGCCCTATCCTATCACAATATTAATGCCCCCGATGTCCCCACAGCTTCCGCGGCCATTGAGAGAATTCAGGCTACTAAATGTATGTAGATGATGCAGTGGCCGCGGAAAGCGTGGGGACATCTGGTGAAAATATCCCCATCATCATTTGCCCATCTTATATAAATAAATCCCTTCCTCCCCTATCCTACAATTTTAGAGTCCCCCTCTGTCCCCTCACCCTTCCGCGGCCACTGCTTTCTCTCTCTCTCTCACTCTTTGAAATGTATTGAGTGACAGTGTCAATTTCAGTCATTCCTTGTCATAAAAATATTGTAAATAAGCCGTTCTTTTCCCCACTTTCACTTCGCAGCAGCCAGCCAGGCAGCCTCCTTGATTACTCGACGGGGATAAAATAAAATAAAATAAAATCTTGTGGAAATGGAATTCTGGCAGGCACGTAGTCATTTATTTCTTCTTCTTTAAAAAAAATTGAGACAAAATAGCAGGCACGTAAATCATTTCTTTTTAAAAAAATGAGACAAAAATGTAGTCGAGTTGAACAAGAAGTCTTTTTTAAAAAGAAAGCAAGAAAAAAATCTCGATTTAAGTAGATTTCGAAATATTGAGAGAAGAAGGGAACGTTCATGTGTAACGTTATCCAAAAGTTGGATTAGTTTTGGGTCTCTTTTCTTCTTACTCGTGTCAAGCTTAACGTGACAATGGAGCGTGTCAGGTGTAAGACTCGGATTTTATTGAAATTTTGGAATTATGCAGGGGAAATCAATACAACCCAAGTTTCTTTACGCAGTTTGAAATTAGTAAAAGTTTCCGAGGTAAAATTTGAAAAATGGGCGATTTTTCCCTTCGAGAAGAATAAAAGTGTAGTTTGCTTTCTTAAATATTGTCCATTTTTCAACTTTGACCTCAAATATTTTGACAAATTGTAATGACTCACTGTAAATGAAATTTTC